CAAAAGTTAACACCCGAAACCATATCGATTTCAAAATATTTATTTCATTTTTACACTATAATTAACTCTTTAGCTCAGAAGAGGTTTTAGGATTAAACAAGATCGCAACTATTTTCGAGAAAAAAAATCTACTCGAGGACTTACGTAATACGTCTTTGTCATGTTCGCACGTTTCACAAGGTGACGCACACAGCTATTGAAATTGCCTTTAGGTTGAGTCTTCAGAAGCCGTGGTGATCGTGTAAATACTTTCGATTTCCTAGTATAATACTATTAAATACGGAACATAACCGGATTTTCATGTAGCCCCCAAAAGGTGTTGAAATGCTCGATGAAATCCTTCTCTTAATTTGTTCCCATTGATTGCGCCGATCGGTACTTTTGGTACGCCAGCGAATTCGGGTAATATGGCAAAGGTTAAACAATTTAGTAGGGTATCATTGTGAAAACATCATGAAATCCCAACTTTTAAACTTCACTTTATAAACCACTATTCACGATTATTACAATTCATGCAGGTGGGCTGGCGGCAGTGATGTATACAGACACTGTGCAAGTCTTTATCATGATCCTGGGTGGAATGACCCTCATGGTTCTCAGTAAGTAATATCCATTGAAGTCATACACCGGTTTTTACTAACATATTCAAATTGTATGCATAGTTTATAAATGAACGTTGTTCCTGACAACCTGAAAGCTTGCCCGACATAGCAGCAAATAATGTATGCAGAATAGATTCCTAGTATTGTAGTTCATTCATTTATAATAACAGGTTAATGGGATAACTCGTCACTAGGTCCCCAGGAAAGAAACATTCATAAATTTGAATATGTTAGTACACCGGTCTATTAAATACACTATGAACATGACGAACAAAGAAAGCGGACAAAATATACAGTTCCTCGGGTATACAAAGGAACATCCCTTCACTGCAATTATGTAAAAAGGTGAATATGCATGTGACACCTGTTCTACACATTTTTACATAATAGCAGTGAAGGGATGTTCCTTTGTCTACCTGAGGAATTGTATATTTTGTCCGCTTTCTTTGTCAGTCATGTTCATAGTGATAATTAGGGATTAATCTCAGTCACACCACCGGACTAACATCAGACCATCAGACTGGCCGATATCTGACGAAGTATTTGCCAATAGTGGAAATTTAATTTATTAAGTCTGTTGTCGTACAGGTGCCTAGATCTCTGGTGTTAGTCTCTTCGATGTGAGTGCAGTGCAACACCAAAATTCAATTTTAGAATTATAAAGAGAAACAAAAATACAACCTGGAGAGCAAATATCTTGAAGAAATTGAAGTAGAAAAAATATAATAGAAAGTTTGAAAAAAGCTCATGGGTTTTAGGCATTTAATTACGGTCAGATGAGCATATTTTGATACCTTATTTGTGACACTAGCATAAAATCATGCCATTTCTACAACATTTGTTAATTACTGGTATCGAATTAGAAATAAACCACGTTTGAATTTCATTTCATTTCATTTTTTTTTTTTTTTTTTTTTTGGGGGGGGGGGGGGGGGAACTGCCCCTAAAGCCCCCCCCCCCCCGCCCCATCAGTACGCGAATGCGAAGGAGCATAGTGAATAAGAGGGGTGAAGGTGACGAAATTGACTATCCCCCTCACAGGTTTTTGAAGTTTTGTTGTATTAAAATATTATATTCCTTAGCAAGACTATAATATAAACGTTAGTAATATACCTTTTTCACCCTTCAATTTTCTCGGTATTTTCTTGTACATTTTGAAGGATATTATGCGAGAAGATTTTTGCATTTTTATTTGTTTAAACGCTGCACTCTTGGGCCTCCAGAGCCTAAAAGTTTGTTGCAGTCTTTAGTCAGTATTTGCTATACATTTTGTTTTATCACTTTTTCAAAATTTGAGGGGGGACGACCCCCCCCTCTAAAAAAATCGAAGGGGGGGGGGGGCGTGTCCCCCCGTCCACCCGGATCGCTGCCCCTGAATGGAAGCCTACGTCAAGTGCAAATTTATATTAATAAACGTTACAGAGAATAACTGAATTAAAGTTTCTTGCCCAAGCCCTGTTTAAAGAAAAGTTGACAATTTCATTTAAGGTTACATAAAGGTCGGAGGTCTCAAGGAGCTAAAGGTCAAGTACTTTCAAGCGATCTCTAACGATACATTGAACACACCGAACTACACATGCGGTTATCCGAAACCCGAGGCTTTCCACATGTTACGGAGTGCAGATCCTTACAACTCGGATTTTCCTTGGATCGGTTTTTTAATCGGACAAAGCATGACATCCATCACCTACTTCTGCGCTGAACAGGTAATCTAAAAATACATTCATTTCATACGAGGCCAAGTTAAAGTCCAGTCAAACCAGGGTATGTGAGTTAAAACACCTCCCTGGTCAAACCATTGTTATAAGTTCATTTGTATGAAAGTAGAAAATAAGAGAAACGGAATGGTGAAAAATTGAAAAATAACTGAGCAATGATAACAAATACAAAATAATTATGAATGTTTGAAATTAAAAAAAAAAAAATTACATTTATGCAAATCTCAAATTTGTAATTTGGTCAGCGGATTGTGACGTAATCCCGGACAACTCTCCCATTTGTCCTGCACAAAAATATAATTAATCTCTGATCTCTACAAAGAGAAGAACAACATGGGAGAGTTATATCCGCCACTACGTTACATTGACCAGGTGATCGACATTACCGATTCGGATAATTTGAAACCCCTTAAAACTATGGTCACAAATCAGAGCAGCGACCGACCGATCAGTAACCTGCTCGGTCGCTGCTGGAATTAGGCATTGCCCAGCGATTAGGTCGGTGCCGGGCGGTGACCGCCCAGGCACCGAGCGTACTTTTGGGTAATGTGACCATAGCATTAGCTATGGTCACAACTCAGAGCAGCGACCGAACGATCAGTAGCCTGCTTGGTCGCTCCTGGAATTAAGCATCGCCCAGCAATTAAGTCAGTGCCCGGGAGGCGACCGCCCAGGCACCGAGGGTATTTTGGGCGGCGAGTGAAAAATGAGAAGGCGCCGCCCAAATTTTAACTTCGCGCTCAAACTTCAGCGGCGACCGAGCGATGCCCTAAGACGAGCGGTGCTTGGGCGGCCGCCGCTCGGTGGCCGGGCAGCCCCCAGGCAGAATTGGTTAAAAACTCGCCGTTCGGCCGCCGAGCAGGCTACTTTTGGGTAAAGTGACCATAGCATACTCATAGTGATTACAAATTTTTAAAATATTGTAACAAATCAGGGTTTTAGTATTGGACGAAGGTTAAGCATTTTTGTTGTACGCGCATGCGCTATAGCAATATGGAGCATCGTTGATTTAGCAATTACCAAACTGAAGGAAAATGAGCATAAATTACATATTTTGATCATGTTGGTGCAATTATCATATTTCTTTTGGGGATATTACTTGTATAGTAGTGATCTAATCAGGAATAAGGGGTTATACTGAAGATTATATGTGAAGATTTTATGGGATTAGCAGAAATGTTGTGTTGAAGTGTTGTTTTACTAACGAGGACATAATTGTCTTTTATACGGTTATGTATAGGGAAATTTTTAAGATGGGCAGGATTGTGTATTTAGGGCTTTCCACTGCACTGTATCCGTTGTACAGGCCAGCCTCACCGAGGCTAACCTGAAGTTTGCACTCGTGTTATCATACCTGTTGACCAGGTGAGCATTAAAGCCTTTCGACTTACAATTCAATATTCTGATTTAATTTCTTAGAGCAGTGAAATTACATTGAGTGATTAAGAAGAGATGAATGATTGATTGATTGCTCGAAGGATGTTCAATTGACCGTTGCTGTGCACAACGATTGGGGTGACCGATTGCAGTCGAAGGATGCACGATTGTTGATATACGCCCTGTGACGTGAGCAGTGAAGAAATCCAGCCATCAAGCTACGGGCATATATTTTGTCCAAACGAACGACGGGGAGCACCAGGCCAGACACGGGCATCCTGACAAATACTCCGTGTCAAGCCAAGGTGGCAAAATCGTGTCCGTTACAATATCATAATATTGTTATAGCTGGTCCGACTTCGTTCAAACTTTCACAAATCTGCTTCTAAAATTTTTTGGGATCAATTTGCTATTTAAGGTTGAATTTTCCTTTAATGAGATCCAGCTCCCCCACTCAGTGTTATTTAGGGTACCCATGTGCATGTTTCCTTCTTTTGAAAACACCCCCCCCCCCCCCCCCCCCCCTAAGTCCGGTGTGTAAAGTCAATACTGGCCGAATTTGGGTGTGTTACGAGCCGGACTTTGCTGCGTGAAAAGTACCTCTTTATATACCGGACATTTTGGAAACATGAATGTGGCCCCTCCGTTCCCGGAGTGGGGGGGGGGGGGGGGGGGGGGGGGGGGGGGGGGGGGGGGATGGGATAAGCACAAACTTTTGCGCATGATTACACATTGGAGCCGAAATGGCTTTAACTCTTCGTTAAAGTATATGAGTTGATTCCCTAGCTATGGCTCTCAACACGCGACAAAGTAAATGACGGCAGCAAAAACACAGAAGAGAGTTATCTTTGCTCAAATAAGCAGTGATCGCTCTGCTGTGTGATTCTGTATCCACTTTGCGTCTCCGAACGTCACTACTCACTAGCAAACCCATATACGCAGTCGCAAAGCTCACAACCTTAATAAGAAATTCCTGGTTTACAAACCTCAAACGGGCCATTTGCAATATTATCAATGTAGCTTAAACGAAACGACAAAGACAAATCTCATAAAAACAAAACAAAACAAAAACAAAGTAAAACATTAAAATTAAAAGAGTGACGGGGAGTATGCATTAAAATCTACATATAAGTCTACATAATTCTTATTGTTCTTGAACGGATGGTAAAAGAGCTAAATTATGATGACTTTTGCCAACTCTATATGAACATGGCAACAGAACAATCACGTTTTTCATAATTCTATATGTGTCGAGTATGAACTTACTACAAAAACCTAATTATACTACTGCGTCTTCGAACAGGTGATGGTACAGCGCACTCTCTCGGCCAAGAGTCTTTCACACGCACAAGGGGGTTGTATCTTTGCCGGTTACATCAAGATCTTACCCCTCTTCATGATCGTCATTCCTGGTATGATATCAAGGGTGCTCTTCACAGGTAAACTCACATGATGGAAATTCGGGGATTTAATGATATTCATAATGCTCATGATGACGTACTTTATTTAGAGGAGACGCGACGGCTTAGTGGTAGAGCAGTGGTTTCGTAACCGACAGGTCTCGCATTCGATACCAAGTTAATGCGCTCGTACCCTTTGGTTAGACATTAATCCTCATTACCAAGTCCCTCGGAGAGCACTTAAAGCCGTCAGTCCACTGGGTCATTACTTACAAGCATTACATGCTTTCTTAGCAGTCAGGTAAAACAATCATCGATCATCATCCATTTTAGGTAGCGTTGAAATACACCGCAAGTATTATGACGTCTTAGGAACCACATTTTCATTAGCCATTTCGGATATTCAGTTGTCTCCCATTACCATATACTTTTGGTATACCCTGTAACTATGTTTAATATGTTGTTTTAGAAATGGTAACAAATTTATAAATTTATTCGTTCGTGATGATGTTAGTAATAATATTAGTAAAAACAACCCTAGCATTATATGATAATCCAGTGTCTTGTTCGCCGGTATGATAATGATGAAAACGATAATTATGAGCAAGTTCCAAACTATTTTGACTTTTGGTTTCCCATTATCTCATACATGAACGAGTATTGTGGAGTTCTCATATCAATTCCTTTTAGTTTGCTCACATCTTCCCTTTCTTTGCACACATGTACTTCGTTTGTGTGTATGTTGGTCGTTTGGTCGTTTTTTAATAATACCTTATAATTTTTTTGTTTAAATGTATTCATGAGAGTATACACTACCTAACATGTTGATGTTTCATCTTTCTTTTGTCTTCAGATATTGTAGCATGTGCATCAGCAGAGGCTTGCATGGCAGCATGCGGGAATCCCCGGGGATGTACCAACATGGCATTCCCTTCACTTGTACTCGGTGTCATGCCAAATGGTAGGTCTTCCGTTTTGCAGAACGTCTTTTTATGGTCAGGTACGGCACGCCACCTTCTCCCACGATGGGGTCATTTCCCAATATCCCCGGTTCTCCTGCTACTCCGTTTAAAAGTGGTCAACAATATATATAGATGCTAGCTTGCTTTCATGCTTCTTGTCTTTGATAAGATGAATCAAATAAGAACGACACCAAAAATATAAGAATGTAAAAATAACTAGTTGCGTTACTACAAAATCACTTTACAATCCCAGATTATCACGGGGTGCAGCCCTGGAACCCAACTGTAATAAGCGGACTAGTCCATATTGGCGCTCGCATTTTGCTACCCGCGTGCTTAGTATTGTTTCATGCTAGCAAAATGGTAACTGCTGCAGAATTCCCAGTTAAGGTGATCAGCCCCAAAGTAACCTCTTGTTGGGAATTTTGTTCCTTCTTGTTGTTTAATATTTTGTTTTGGGAATGTTTTTGTTTTGTTGTGTGTTTACATGAATGCAGTGGCGGATCCAGGGGGTGGGGGGGGGCGCCCCCCCCCCCTGGCAAAAAAAAGAAGAAGGAACAAAAAGAAGGGAAGAAAATAAGGAAAATAAAGGGGGAAATTTTTTTTTTTTTTGTGCTAAAGAAAGCAACACAAAAAGTTTTCCTTCCCCCCTCCTAAGCCACTGAACGAAATATCTGACGACGTAATTTTCTAATTTCCGAGGTAAAAAGAAATTGCTCATCTGACCGTGATTAAATGCCTTAATACCCCTGAGCTTCCGGGGGCTCCGCCCCTTATATTTCACCTAGGGCCCAAAATCAGGCACCCCAATGCTCATTTGACGGTAATTTAATGCCTAAAACCCTGAGCTCCTGGGGGCTCCGCCCCCTGGACCTCACCCCAATCAGTGTCCTGCCAGTGTCATAAAAAGGTACGTAATGTCACCATTACGTACCAATATTTGGCTCTCATAATTTCAAATTTGGCCCCCCTAAGAAATCCTGGATTCGCGCCTGCATGTATGGGGGAGAAGTTGTTTCTAGTTTAATTAGAAGGAATAAAACTGTATCACTATTTATTTGCACCTTATGGGGTTACCCCAAGTATATTTGTCCAGAACAAAATCGTCAGATCATTTAAGGTTTGCTATTAAACCGTATGAACTTCAACAATGCCAGTTTGACCTTCTTCTCCGTCATGTGACCTAGGTCTTCGCGGGGTCATGCTAGCTGTGATGCTGGCAGCTATTGTCAGTAGCTTGACTTCATTCTTTAACAGTATCAGCACACTCTTTACCGTCGACATCTGGAACTACTTCAGAAAGAAATACTCCAAGAAAGATCCTTCCGTCAAAGAGATGATGATCGTTGGCAGGTGGGTTAACAGTTTACAAATGTTTCCCCAAATTTATATGATTTATGAGTTTTTCGACATTTCCATAGCTACACATTTCCCGAAACTCGCTTGTTTCAATGATCCATATTCCGACACCTTCATGTTTCAGCACCCTTAGTTATACACTAAAATCATTTAAAACGCTCCTGTCATGCCTATACGTCCATAATGCTCAAATCTGAAGCCCCCAGCTGCTCCGACACTAATGTTCTTATTTCCTTATAATATAATAATTATCTTTTTTTAGCAGTGCTGTTCTTCCTGAGTTATCTGAATTATCACTACCCCATCATTTGATAGGGACCCATTTACACCTGGGTTGAGAGTGGCAAATGTGGATTAATGCCTCGCTAAAGGACGTTAGTTCCTAGCAGGCTGATATTATTTTGAACCCTAAATCAGTGAAAACCAAGTGAACGAATCACTATAGGCCTATCACGACACTTCCACTTTCTTATATTTCATGTTACCTGTTAGTTGATGACTATCAGGTATTATATTCAATTCGGTTCCATAGAGTGATAGTGCTTGTCATGACGGTTCTAAGTGTGCTGTGGATACCGGCTATTGAGGTGCTGCAAGGCGGTGACGGGTTGAACCGTTACTTCACCCGGATAGCCGGAAGAATTACGCCCAGTGTCTGTGCGGTGTATCTACTCGCCATCCTCTGGCCCAGAGCGAACGAACAGGTAGCGTGTATATATTAGAAAAGTAAAGAGATTACTAGAGTAAATGTAACTGTTTCAGACGGTTCAATATGCTGTCCGTTGAGACAAAGGCTTGATGAATATGCAAATTACAAATTAAATTATTATTTTTTACGTAAAAGAATTTAATCGAAATCTGATCTTGCCCGTCCATTTGCAGCTTTCATAAGGCTTAGCTTAGCTAATCAAGTTTATGTTATTGGCAAAAGTTATTCCCATTTATCACGGAGAAAAATTATACCAGAAATCCAACGTATGTCTTCATCCGTTAGCACTATTACTGGAGTTCTCAAATCGTTTTCCTTTCCGGACATTTACAGGGTACGTTCTGGGGGCTGGTCGCGGGGGCGTTCACCGGTTTCACCCGGCTTATACTGGATTTCATCTGGCCTGCACCGGTTTGTTGGGAAGAGGATAACCGGCCACATATCCTCAAGCTTCATTACTTCTACTTCAATATGATCCTGTTTGCGGTTGTGTTTACGGTCGACATAACCGTCAGCCTCCTAACCGAACCTCCCCCACCTGAAAGGGTAAATTACTTGGGTCAACCTTGATGTTGCATTTTCGAAAACTCTGTGATGAATTTGGTTTGTAACAGTAACGCAAAAGCATAGAATAAACAATAACATGAAAATAAAAAAACTAAAGCATGGTGGTGTCCCCATTATGATAAGCTTCTTAGATGAGAATAATTGTTTTCTGCATGAGTAAACGAATGCTTGTTGGCTGTACTTACATGTATAGACAATCATTTTGGAATATTGGTCAGTACAAACAATGGTCAATGGGGTTGTTTTGGATTTTTTTTTTTTTAAGGGTAGGGGGGTCTAGGTTGCCCCTTTTCAGGCATGACTGCCTCCTGAAATGCTTTGGTGTAAACTTGACCAATGGTGTCTACTCTTCAGTCGGATACCAAATTGTTGCAGTACCACAAATCTGCCTGAAAAATAAAATGCCTTTGGTGCTTGTGAAAAATCAGTTCTGATTACAGGTGTACCCGCATTTTTGGAGGGCAGAGTTAATAACAGGCAATGTACCATATACTGCTGAAATAAACCGCGGTATTCATTCATAAGTATATATACCTTTGTTTGTTCAGCTCATCCGGACTACGTTCTGGACGCGGTTTAGCAAGGCTAAGCGATCAGATGAGGCAGAGTTCAACGATACTGAAGAGGATGACGATGAGGCGGCTGAAACTGACGACATCGAACTCGACGACAACAAAGAGTCTACTGACATTGTGAAAGGTATCACTATGAACATGACGGACAAAGAAAGAGGACAAAATATACAGTTCCTCATTCTACCCTCAACAATTGCTGTGGTAGATAAAGGAACATCCCTTCACTGCTATTATGTAAAAATGTGTAGAACAGTGAATATGCATGAGACACCTGTTCGACACATTTTTACATAATAGCAATGAAGGGATGTTCCTTTATCTATTATTGTTGAGGGTAGAATGAGGAATTGTATATTTTGCCCTCTTTCTTTGTCCGTGATATTCATAGAGCAACGTCGATCTGGCGCTGCTCAGTGGCTGCCGGGCTCACGATCAATTGGGCAAAAAGAATTTCCATTTTCGGTTTAATAACATTTGGAGTGGACTTTAAAAGATTATTATTATTATTATTATGTAATCTATGCCTGAAGCTTTATACTATATACGAACCTGCTTCGGTTGGAATTTCGAAGAAAATGGCAATTATATTAGATATGTGGAACTAAATAAACACAACCTTCTAAATATTATGAGAAGAATACTAACATCTAGACGTATTAATCATAAAGACTGTTCAGATCCTCCATCATTACGATCTTATTTATTTGAATATTCAGATGAAATGCTGTGTAAATTCACTCAAAATCGGATCGTTCTCAGATGGTAAAAGTAGTGTGCATTTGGCTTTATGCAGATTGCACATGAGACGTTCGTGTGTGTGTGTGTAATTGGGTTTTTACAGACGTGTATCAATCAGATATGTTTTGGGGAGACCGACCTTTAAGGTCACCATCCGAAAGACGTCAATTGAGTGGTAGCCCTTAAGAAGCAGTTATCAGTTAGTGAAGCTGTCTTCGACGCGTTTATGTGAGATTGAAACAATCATCATCACAACGTGAATGGTGCTAAGTTAGTGCCGTAATAACGCAATCGAAAAAACGCCATTTGTGAAATAAGGCAATTATAATAATAATCGGTGTAATATAGGATTAAGGTATCATTTAATATTCATTATTCAAGAAGGGCTGATGTGAAGAAATATCACTTCATACCAAGGTAATAACCATTTGCTTGGAAAACCTGTATTTAAATTCCCTTCTACAAATGACCCTTTTATCCAGAAAAAACAGTTCTTTTTGAAGATGCAACCCACACATTTGATTTTTCTTTCTTCTCATCCTTGTCCTAATCGTTTACATTCATGGAATTGCGTCAGGATGATGATTACAAACAAAGTGATATTGTTTCCTTGAGTTCTCTCTATTTTAAAAACAGATCCGCCTGATAAGATCTCAGAAAGGAAGAGTGGCTGCTACCGGGCTGTGACATGGTTCTGCGGCTACGGGGACGACAGCGAAGAGGGTCAGCGAAAAGCGCGCGCGGAGGAGAAACGCGTACGTAAGATTACAACGTCGATTGAGCAGGATCCACGCGCAAAGAGGTTCATCCACATCAACATGGTCATTCTCCTGGGGGTGTCCGTCTTTCTCTACACCTACTTCTCTGTCGATTGGATTTAAGATATCACATTATTTATCCTCTTTGGCTGTAGTGTATTCGTGTATGCGGAAGTCCAAACGGTTTTGTCCCATACGTCACTTCTAAGATTCCAACAACTACACTGTCGCTCATAAAGTTGGAATATTTTTTTTACCCCGATTTATGGAATTATTTTGACAATGATTTATTCGTAATAGATCTAGATAATAGTATACATTCTCAGGTGTTATTGAATAATAATTTGCCAGTTTTTGTTTTGCGTGACTGCTAAAGCATGTGTATGCTTCTATGCTTATTAACTAGGGGACCTACGCCCTTAAGTCATAAATGACAATAATGAGGATTAATGCCCCACAAAAGGGCACTAATGTAGCACATCGGACACGGTTTTGATCCTGAGGCCTCACAGTTACGAGGCCATTGCTTTGCCACTGAACCACGACTGTACGTGGCGGGGGGCGTTATTTTTTTCTGCGGCACAGATTGGGGTTAGGTGCGTGTTGAGCCAAGGGAAAGTTTAGGGTTAGGGTTAGGGTTAAATCAAGACCTCTTTAAAAAAAAAAACCCAAATCTGTGCCGCAGAAAAAAATGACGCCGTCGGGGGCTAGGGTAGGGGGCAGTTCCTACAAATAAAAAACAAAGAAAATGCAATAAATTATCAATAATTCATTGAATTTCCCCCGGTTCCCAACATACAAAAATATTCTGTGTTCCCATTCCTTGAGCCATAATGCATGGCCGTACAGAGGATTTTGATATGTTGGTAACCGGGGTAAAATGCAATGAATTATTGATAATTTATTGCATTTTCTTTGTTTTTTATGTGTGGGAACTGCCCCCTACCCCCTATGATCTGTTATATGAAGGAAAAATGTACATCATGGATAGTTTGAGATTTTTCTATGTTCATTGTTCAATGATTAATGTAATTTATGAAGTGTCTTGTATCGAAGATCTTGTTCTGTATGACGTATTGTGATAATTTCTTGTAATGTGAATTCATGAGGAAGGAAATAAAATATCATTTAAAACCAAAAACTGTTTTGAGTTTGTTGGCCAGCAATCATGGCAAATGAACTACGACCTATGCTGAATATTCATGAGAGCGGTGCTCGTATGGTATGCGAACGTTGGTCTTAAAGATATAGACCAGTTTTGGAAACGCCCCCCCCCCCTCCCAAAAAATAAAATGTAAGCTCTTGTTACCGATCATGTGAAAGAATATGTTTGACTAATACGTGATGATACAAATTTTGCAGGGGAAACCGCCTACTAATTGATATAATTATTTGGTAAATTATCATATCTATCCGGCCTGGATATATATTGCGTAGTCCCATATACATCTTTCTGTGTACAGTGCTTGCAACTTAACCAAGACTGAGCCAAATTTCCTATCAGTTTTATGATTCCAGAACCTTGCAGTACACACCAATACTTATATGCCAGATGATCAACCTTTTCTGATTGATTCCACAACGTTTCTTTCACAATGCAATCGCATGACCAGAACTGGTCTTTATCTTCAAAGTGAAGGTTTAGTTATAGTACAATGCGACAAATAATTTGGTAGCATTCTCATTCTTTTTATGACAGTTTAAAAAAAATAGTCAAAGAAAATGATCGCTCTTGATGCTCTGATATTGGAAATATGACAATAAATAGATGAACTTTGGACCAAACATTGTGTCATACGCGCAGTCCCATTTGCGGAAAGATTTAGTTAAATTATTTATTATTTTAACGATTCCAAAGCCTCACAGTATACAACTATGCTTATGTACTACATAATCAACGTTTTACCATTGTTTCAACACAGTTAATGTAATCGCTTGACCAGGGCTTGTCTTATAAAAAGTTGCGATTGATCCGAATCAACCGAAAGTGCTCTAATCAATTATCGCAAGTTTGCAGTCTCCTATCTCTTAAAAGTAATACAAAGTTTTGGTATGGGGTCATGAATTCGGTTCAAATGAACATATTGGAAGCAGGCGCGTACAAAGGGGGGGGGGGGGGGTTAAACCCCCCATTTGGTATTTTTCTATGTGTAACCCCCCCCCATAACCCCCCTACCCCCCCCCTTTGGATTGATTTTTTTCCCATGGCTGACCTAAAAAAGCTGACCTTACCCCCCCCCCCCCAACGGAGCAAAATGTCAAATTTTCAAATTTCGAGACCCCTCCCCCCCCCCAAAAAAAAAATGTCCTCTTACCCCCCCCCCCCCCACCCGCTTATTCAGCGGCTGGCTGAGTCGTTGCGAAATTTTCGGCCCGAATTATAAATGTTAACCCCCCCCCCCCCCCCCCCCTTGAAAAAATCCAGCGTACGCGCCTGCCATCATATCATCCATGCATGGAGAATTCATCATCCTACGGTAATATCTTCACTTCTGAGTCGTAATGCTTAAACGTTCAAAGTTTATTCACTCGATACAAACAAGGATGAACGTGTACATTATTCAATTATACAGTGAAATCAAACAAAACAAAACGATACTATTATACAAAAAGGCATTTAAAATGTTAAAATTATATAAATACAGAGTAGGGAATAGAGTAGGGTCCTAGCAAAAAGGAGAAGGGAGGGAAAACAAAATTTGAGATAAGTCATGGTGCTTTTCTAGAAAATGGTTAAATGACTAGAGTATGTAAAGGGCCACACACATAACCCCATTACAATACTTCAATCGTTGGTAAGAGGACATGTGTTTAACAGTAATTATATGTATATATATACCTGCGTTTAAAAGTATTAAATGATGAACAGTTTTGTTTAAGGTAGTAGGAAGAGAATTCTATAGTTTGGGGCCTGAAGCGAACGAGCGGAGTAAAAAAAAAAAAAAAAAAAAAAAACGTATAAAAAGATGTTTTGGGGTACCTTGCTGTAAGAGAGATACTTGAATTATGGCACCTCGATCGTTACCTCTTATGTGGGATTGATACTGCTTCTAAATGTTGCAAGCGAGCGAGGAAACAAAAAGTCACTCGATTGTTTTTAAAATGTTATTTCTTCATGAAAATACGTAGCGTTTTCATATATATTTTTTTTTACACGAAATTGACATTTTTCGTTCTATCAATCCCTATGTTATTCATTGTTTTTACCCCGTTTATCTACGTTATTTCCGCTTTAATCATTTGACCGTTTTCTCCTGCCTTTTTTTTTTTTTTTTTTTTTACTCCTTTAGACCTAATCTTTCCTCCTTTCATTACCCTTGCATTTCTTCATTCTCTTCTTATATATTCCTTCCTATCTTAAATGTTATTAGCTAGTTTTATCTTTCACGTTTATATTTCCTTATGATATACAGTGTATTAAAATGTTATCTTTTCTTTTATCATTTTCCAAGTATTTCCCTTTTTAAAAATCTATTATCTTCTCGCTCTTTCCCAATGTTTTTCTTTGTTTTGATCCTTCTATCAATTTCTCTTCCTATCTTTCCTTATTATATGTTATTCTTTGATTTTATCCTATCATCGTTTCTCTCTCTCTCTCTCTCTCTCTCTCTCTCTCTCTCCCCCTCTCTCTATCTCTCTCTCTCTCTGTGTTTTCCTCTATATCTTAACATTCATTTTATCCTTCCATCATTTCTCTTTCTACCTTTCCTTATGATAATCATTATATTTCTCAAAATATCCTCATGACCTCAACTTCCGAACAGTACAAATCTGATTCCAACCCTGAAAGAATTTATTCATCATATCATTAATTTAGCAAATTGGCCATTTTAAGATGCAAGAGGCTATCATGATAGGTCTTTATCCATTACTGTAGGACTAAAGATACAATACATTTTGGAACTTATAGCCAATTTTATTATCTCAATAAATATATAAAATACAATGGTGAACCTCAAGTTAATCTCTTTACACCAAACTTACTGGTATTTAATTTTCAATGATTGATTGCTTTACAATTAATGCTAAACATCCTCATGACTTCAGCTACCCGAACAAGTTTTAGTCTTTGATTGTGTTTTAAATAAAATAAAAATAAATTCAAATTTTACAAAAAGTATTAATTTCTAAATTCTTTTTTTCAAACTCATGATTTTCATAGTTACATGTACATGTAATTCATTGCACGAATTACCCAACATATCCACAAATCTGTCTTAACAAAAAGTGGTCCCACTTCACGCATTTTAGAATAATTAATCCAAAAGTGAGGGACTCAAGGAGTTCCTTTTGTTACCCTTTTGAGGAGAGAAATACTCCCACCTAAATATCCACCCTGATATTAGGTTGATTTTAATAAAAGCAGAACAATTAGAGACACAAATTAGTGAAAGTTTGACTAATATCCGATTAAAATTAAGGAAAGTTAAGAATTTGTTTGTGTGACGTAGCTTGCAAGCTCTTCACAAACTTTCATTACAGTGTATTTTAGTCATTGATGACGGAATAGATATGTTTCATATAGGGGTGGTATAAAAACATACATGTATCTGCAATAATTATATTTAGGATAGGATTGAAAACTTTCTTGAGCAAATGGAGGGGAAGCTTGTAAGATACGTCACAGAATTGTCAATTTGAGTCTGATTGATCACAACTTCATACATTTCATAACTTTCTTATTTCTAATCAGAATTTTCTCAAACTTACATTGATCTGTTCCTATCATTTGTCCGCTTGTATTGAAACCAACTTCATATCAGGGTGGACTTCCCCTTCAAATGAATGATTGAGTAGCTTTAGTGACCCCTCATCCAATATGTATGTATAACCTGTGTCTGCTCATGGGCAGAAAACAAGCATGACCCTCCTTAAAGGTAATACAAAGTTTTGGTATGGGGGTCATGAATTTGGTTCAAATGAACATATTGGAAGCATATGCGATCCTACAATATTCAATGATCGTTGTCTCAGTTGAAATCGAGTCTAAAGTTATAAAAAATTAAAAAGTTATAAAATTGTAAATAATAAACTCTTTAAGTTGTATAGCTCCCTCTCAAGGTCGAGATATTAATTAAGCCATAAAACAATGTTTTTTGACTGAAGTCGACCGATTTGCTATTCCCGTTTGGAAATTATATATCACAACTATATACTCTGAGATTCTCATGGTCGCAGCTATGTACCAATGAACGGCTGTAGGCACTATTTGAAATTCATCAAAATTTACCAGGAGCAGCGGTAAATTTTCATATTCAATTTTTCTTGAAAGCAGAAGTGTTTTAGGGGCTAAATTTTCTAGTGCTTATAATACATCCACAGGGGCATCCAAGTATATGTCAAAATTGTAAAGAATCACTATCCACCCTATTTTCAAAATTTCCCAAAACTTTGTAATACCTTTAAAGGTAAAGACCAGTATTGGAAACGCCCCAATTTCAAAAAATGAAATGGAAGCTCTCATTACCAATCATGTGAAAGAATATGTTTTGACTAATACATGATGATAAAAAAAATTGCCGGGGAAACCGCCTACTAATTCATATATTTGGTAAATTTGTTTCTCTCATGGTCTGTGAGAGATATAGGGTAGTCCCATATACATCTTTCTGTGTATAGTGCTTGTAACTTTACGAAGAATGGGCCAAATTTCTTATCATTTGATGATTCTAGAACCTTGCAGATGCTAGATGCTAGATGATCAACCTTTTCTGATCGATTCCACAACATTTCTTTCACAATGCAATCGCATGACCATAACTGGTCTTTACCTTTAATCTTTCTACACAGTTCCCATTTCTCTCCTGTAAATGATTAACAATGTAGAGGAAATCATCCTTCAACCAAACAGTGTGAATTGTCCAATGACAAATCCCTTAGCATATTTCACATCCAACACACAAAGTACAAGTGTACCATGACAGACCAGTTACCCAAACATTTGAGAGGAGGATCAAGAACAGTGTTTTTTTACTTGGTTATTTCCAACATTGGGCCCTATAAAAAAAAGTTCATATTCACTTGTTTTTATCATCAATATTTGGTTGCTGCTTTCTTGCTGCACATTACATGTATGCTTTAAGCCTCGGTCACAAATGCCATTACGAACTGCTACAAACGCAGTATGAATGATTTTCAGACAATGTAAAAACAGGGAGATTTGTACGAAATTATCGTTTGTACGAACCTTTGTGACCGTAGCATTACAAATTTACAATGCAACTTGAGTTGTTAATACATCATACATACATAGCACCTCCATGTAAAATTTTAAAAATATTATTTCAGAACCTTCTCTTCATGCATGCGAAGTTGCGAACAGGTTAAAAAGCGTTAACCAACTGCATGAGATGAATACATGTACATTCCAAAGTTGACCACTACCCCTTTTAAAGTATCTCAGGTAGGGATTTTTTTTTTTTTTTTTTCAGCCGAGAGTTACACAAGTGATGACCATTGTTGTTTTGTGAGTTGTGAGTGACTAATCAATTCTCCATTGCATCATCCAGAAAACTGTTGTTACTTTTCTCCGGTGTGTATGCTGACATGACTAATAAGATCCCACTCTGTACCGAAGCCCTTATCACATTCCAAACAATAATACGCTGTTTCTCCCGGGTGACATTTGACATGGTCTAACAGATCACGCTGCAGAAGGAATTTCTCATTGCACTCAAGACAATGAAAGGGCTTTTCACCTTTGTGCATTTTCATATGATCCATAAGATCAGGCTGCTTGGGATATGTCTTATCGCACTCCGGACACTGGAAGGTCTTATCTTTGAGGTGCGACTTCTTATGGTTGATAAGATCAGACTCTGTTGGAAATGTCTTATTGCACTCCGGACACTGGAAGGTCTTATCTTTGAGGTGCGACTTCTTGTGGTTGATAAGATCAGACTCGGTTTGAAATTTCTTTTTGCTCTTCGGACAATGGAAGGGCTTTTCTTTTCGGTGCGATTTCTTGTGGTTCATAAGATCAGACAGCATAGGAAATTTCTCATCACACTTCGCACACTGGAAGGACTTTTTACTTTTATGTGATTTCATATGATCCGTAAGATCAGACTGCTGATCAAATTTCTGATCACACTCTGCACAATGAAAGAGCTTTTCTTTTGTATGTGATTTCATATGGTCCATGAGATCGGACTGCGTTAGAAAACTCTTATCACACTTGTGACAGTTCAAAGGGAGGTCTCCTGCAGGGGATTTCATCGCTGGAGTAGGATCCACCTGTGAAAGCAGTTTCTTGCAACAGTCAAAACAATAATCAGGCACTTGGTCTGTATGAAGAGTTTCATTAGGGATTTCTTTCGCACACAAAGTGCAGTGAAGAGGGATCATATCACCAACATGGACTTTCATATGGGCTGTAAGCTGATTCCTACGAGAGTAGACCTTATCACACAAAGAGCATTTATGCGGCTTTTCCCCCGTGTGGATTCTCATATGGTCCGTGAGATGGCATCGCTGGCCAAACACCTTGCCGCATATTTTACAGCTGTGAGGTTTATCTCCACTGTGGACTCTCTCGTGTCTAGTCAGATCAGATTTGTAAAGAAATGCCTTGCTACATACAGAGCAGTGAAACGGTTCAGATCCAGTGTGAGATTTCATGTGGTGCGCAAGATGGCTCTTGTGGGAGAATGCCTTCTCACACACGCAGCATTGATGAGGTGCCTTCTCACCGGTGTGCGATCGCATGTGGTTCTTGAGATCATTTCTTCGAGAATACGCCTTATCGCAGAGAGAACACTCAAATGGCTTCTCACCCGTGTGGATTCTCATATGCGTTTTGAGATGGGTTTTGCGGGCGTAGTACGTTCCGCACATGGTACACTGATGCTTCTTTTCTCCTGTGTGAATTTTCATGTGATCGGTCAAGTGGCTTCTTTGGGTGAATTCCTTTCCGCAAACGGTGCACTGGTGCGGCTTTTCCCCGCTGTGAATCCTCACGTGTCGCTCATAATCGGACTTGTAGCAAAAACCCTTAGCGCACACAGAGCACTGAATGGGTTTGTCTAAGATGTGGATTTTCATGTGGTTCCTGAGGTTATGTTTGTTGGAATAATCCTTCTTGCATACAGTACATCGATAACTCTCTTCATGTTCCTCGTTCCTCACTCGTTTTCCGCGACCTAAAGGTGGTTTTCCCTGCAATTTCTTTCCACCTTTTAAACGAGCTGGGGTCCTGTCTCTCAGTTTTAATCTCATGTGCATTGGATGACAATTTTTCATGGTCATTTCTTCATCCTTGTCAGAAGAACTTCTTTGATTCACTTCACTCTGAGATCCATCTCCATTTTTAGAGTCACAATGTTTCCTCTTTCCCTCACGACATTGTCCATGACTAGTAGAGCTATATGTTGAATCATTCAAGATGGCTGAACTGCATTCTTGGCTGGCCTGTGTTGCTCCAAGATGCTCTTCTGAATGTGAGAGGGATAAAGCTCCTGCTCTAGAGGTCTCACCAGGAGTCTTGCTGTGGCTAATTTCTGAGAAAAGAAGAGAAAATAAAGGATAGAAAGAAGAGCTATTGAATACAAGACTGTAAAACTAAAACAATTGGGGTGTAGAGAATTTTAGGATTCAGTGAGCAGATCAAGTGACACTACAATCTATTGGGGAAAATGAGTATGGTATATTAAACCGGTTAATCAAAGATATTTACTTTTTTGAGGCACTTCATGATCATTTTGAAGCGCAATTTTTAGGGCTTCAATATTACACCATATCACAGACACTGATAACACACAGGGCCATGCAGGGGCGAATCCAGCCAAAGATAGGCCAAAGAGACGGCCAAACGGCCAGACGGTTAATAAGTGGGGGGGGGGGGGGGGGGGGGGGGGGGGGGGGGTGAGCACTAATACTTTTTTTGGGGGGGGGGGGGGTCCTCGAAAATTTGAAAAATCCCCCCCCCCCCCTTTTGAGTGCCAGTTGAGGGGGCCCATCTCCAAAACAAGGTAAAATTAACATGTTCTGGACCCGCCACTGGGGCCATGCATCTCAGATTGAACATTGTTAAACGATGCCTTTAAGATTAATTATCAATGTATTGGAGTAGACCTTAAAATTTATTTTTTTACAAGGACAGAGCTTGAAACTACAAAATGGAATTACCTCCCCAACTTTCCTTTATTGCATGGCCTATATCATGTAGTGATTTTGTCAGGAATGGACAAGAGACAAGGGTTTTCAGTTTGAGGAGTCTATGTTCTTCATTCCCTATCAGATGATTCGTTCACATACCTTCTGATGTGGCCTGTGATGAAGGGTGCTCTTCTGAATTTGAGAGTGCTGAATCCTCCTTGATACAGGTCTCATCTGAAAGCCTGCTACAGCCAATTTCTGAAGAAATGATAAAAAGATTGAAATAAGGTTCTGAATACGAAACAAATGAACAAGTTTGACAAATTTGTGAGCAGTCCATTGGAATGAAATTTCATTATGAAAATAAAGACAAATAAATACATAAATGAAATGAATAAATAAACATTTAAGTAAAGAAATAAATAAACAAAAAGAAATACATACATTTTTTAAATAAATAAATAGAGGTAAACAAATAGAATAAATGATTAACTAAAAGGCATTTTCACTTACAGCTTAAAGACAAAATTAAAAATTATGTATATATACAAGACCAAATAGTATACAAATGTACAGTTTACCAGTTGTTTTTAACACGTAACAAAAACAAAAAGATACATTTTCTTTTTTTTTTTTTTTTTTGGGGGGGGGGGGGCTTGCATGAGGTCACAAAACTCACAATAGGTCACAAAAGTCTATAAAACCATGGGACAATGATGGATCAGCTTACAATGTATGAGTTCCTATCTCAAGAATATCTACCTTGTGAGAATGTCTGTGAATTAGACTGTTTGCTGTCAAAGTAACCTTCATCTGACACCTCTTGCTTGATAACTATACTGCGTGTACCTGTGGAGAAAACAAATGATTAAACAAGAATAATATTAATCGTGCACATGTTCAATTCAGTCAATTCAGTGAGAGGAGAAGGAGGAGGAGGAGGAGGAGGAGGAGGAGGAGGAGGAGAAGGAGGAGAAGAAGAAGAAGAAGTTATAATAGTCATCACTCTCACTTTCATTTCAGTCAGACTCGGACAGTTTTGCAAGTTGCACAGGCGCGGATCCAGGATTTCCATTAGGGGGCAATTCCACGGTAACGGAAGGACACTCAGACACGATTTTTGAACTTCAGGTTCATACTAAAAGAAATGTTTTATTAGTATGTATTAAACTATGGGGAACGAAATGTGTTTCAGTCAAGTGGAAAGCTTCATCAACTTCACAAAGTTTGGATAAACACTAATTAACTGGAAAAACCATGTCCATTTTTATGTCCTTCCGTTACCGAGATAATTAATATGCACATTCTTAAACTACTTAACTATAATGACAATTTTTTGGGGGAGAATTAAAGGCACTTATATAGGTATTATATCTGTACTGTTTCACATCTTATACTAATAAAAACAGTTCTTTTAGTATGAACCTGAAGTTCAAAAATCTTGTCTGAGTGTCCTTCCGTTACCGTGGAATTGCCCTAGGGGGGGCCGGAAATTTGAAAATTGCGCAGACCATTTTTTCAACTCAACAATACTGACAAGGTCATATTAGAAGCCCGATACCGGTAGAATTTTTGACATTTTCATCGGGGGGGGGGGGGGGGGGGCTATAGCCTCTTGCCCGGAAAGTAATTTTCTGGTTTCACAATTCGAAAAAAATAGTGAGCGAAGCGAGCGAGCAACAATAAATTGTGAAAGTGTTATTTATCACCAAAATAAACGAGGAAAAGATATCAAAAACTCATATTCGGGCAGCTCGCTGTCCCCCCCCCCTCCATTACGCGCGAAGCGCAGAAACTTTGACCCTTCATGAATTGTTACTAGAGAAGGAAGACGATTTGTTGTACCATTCTCGACTCTTAATCCTTGTCTGAATTCAGTTTCCTCCCGCCCGCGCGAAGCGCGGAAGCTTTGGCTTTTCAAAGCTTTGGCCTTTCATTAATTATTAGAGAAAGAAGAAGATTTGTGTACCATTCTCGACTCTTATTACTTGACTGAATTCAGCCCCCCCCCTTCCCGCGCGAAGCATGGAAACTTAGGCTTTTCATAGTTTTATGAAGTTATTAGAGAACGATGATTCGTTGTTCCATTTTCGACCCTTAATCCTTCTCTGAATTAAGTTCCCCCCCCCCTCTCCCGCGCGAAGCGCGGAAGCTTTGGCGTTTCATTAAATTATAAGGGAAAGGAGACGATTCTTTGTACTATTCTCGACTCTTTATCCTTGTCTGAATTCAGTTTTCCCCCGACCGCGCGTAGCGCGTAAGCTTTGACGGTTTATTAAATTATTAGAGGAAGAAGACGAATCGTTGTACCATTCTCGTCTCTTAATTCTTGTTTGTATTCAGTTTTCCCCCTCCCGCGCGGAAGCTTTGACGTTTCATTAATTATTAGAGAAAGAAGAAGATTTGTTGTACCATTCTCGACTCTTATTACTTGACTGAATTCAGCCCCCCCCCCGCCTCCCGCGCGAAACACAGAAACTTTGGCCTTTCATAGTTTAATGAAATTATTAGAGAAAGATGATTCGTTGTTCCATTTTCGACTCTTAATCCTTCTCTGAATTGTGAGTTCCCCCCCTTCCGCGCGAACCGCGGAAGCTTTGACGTTTCATTAAATTATTAGAGAAAAAAGACGATTCTTTGTACCGTCCTCGACTCTTTATCCTTGTCTGAATTGAGTGCCCCCCCCCCTCCCGCGCGAAGCGCGGAAGCTTTGACGTTTCATTAAATTATTAGAGAAAGAAGACGATTCGTAACTCTTAAACCTTGTCTGAATTGAGTTTCCCCCCCCCTCCCGCGCTTCGCGCGGAAGCTTTGTCGTTTCATTAAATTATAAGGGGAAAGAAGACGATTCTTTGTACCATTCTCGACTCTTAATCCTTGTCCGAACTCAGTTTTTCCCTGCCCGCGCGTAGCGCGTAAGCTTTGACGGTTCATTACATTATTAGAGGAAGAAGACTAATCGTTGTACCATTCTCGTCTCTTAATCCTTGTTTGAATTCAGTTTTCCCCCTCCAGCGCGAAGCGCGGAAGCTTTGACGTTTCATTGAATTATTAGAGAAAGAAGATGATTCGTTGTTCCATTCTCAACTCTTTATCCTTGTCTGAATTGAGTGCCCCCCCCCCCTCCCGCGCGAAGCGCGGAAGCTTTGGCGTTTTTATTAAATTATTAGAGAAAGAAGACGATTCGTAACTCTTAAACCTTGTCTGAATTGAGTTTCCCCCCCTCCTGCGCTTCGCGCGGAAGCTTTGTCGTTTCATTAAATTATAAGGGGAAAGAAGACGATTCTTTGTACCATTCTCGTCTCTTAATCCTTGTTTGAATTCAGTTTTCCCCTCCAGCGCGAAGCGCGGAAGCTTTGACGTTTCATTGAATTATTAGAGAAAGAAGATGATTCGTTGTTCCATTCTCAACTCTTTATCCTTGTCTGAATTGAGTGCCCCCCCCCCCCTCCCGCGCGAAGCGCGGAAGCTTTGGCGTTTTTATTAAATTATTAGAGAAAGAAGACGATTCGTAACTCTTAAACCTTGTCTGAATTGAGTTTCCCCCCCCCCCCTACCGCGCGAAGCTTTGTCGTTTCATTAAATTATAAGGGGAAAGAAGACGATTCTTTGTACCATTCTCGACTCTTAATCCTTTTCCGAATTCAGTTTTTCCCCGCCCGCGCGTAGCGCGTAAGCTTTGACGGTTCATTACATTATTAGAGGAAGAAGACTAATCGTTGTACCATTCTCGTCTCTTAATCCTTGTTTGAATTCAGTTTTCCCCCTCCCGCGCGAAGCGCGGAAGCTTTGACGTTTCATTGAATTATTAGAGAAAGAAGATGATTCGTTGTTCCATTCTCGACTCTAAATCCTTGGCTGCATTCAGTTTTCCCCCTCCCGCGCGTAGCGTGTAAACTTCTGACGTTTCATTAAATTATTAGACAAAGAAGACGATTCGTTTTACCATTCCTTGTCTGATTTCAGTTGCCCCCCTCCCGAGTGAAGCGCGGAAGCTTTGACATTACATTAAATTATTAGAGAAATAAGACGATTCGTTGTACCGTACTCGACTTGTCAGAATTTTTTTTCTTTGTCTGCTCCTTTTTCGTCCTATGTCATCTTACTGCCCCTACCACCCCTGGCTACGCGCTTGCTTTAAAGGGAAAATGAAACAATCATGATTATGATAGCACACAATTAGGTTAGTAGAAATGAAAGGGAGAAAAGATATATTACACTAACCATGGATAAATCACGGCCGGGAGCGTCATATCATAGTTTTGTGTTATCGGGCGAGGCCCGGGGCGTAGCAACCAAGCAAGATTTTGCAATGTTGAAATTATGCATTCTAGAAAATTCCACTATATTTCTTTCTAACTATATTTCTAAATTTCCTGGGGGACGTGTCTCCCTATCGGGCCCAGGATTGCCGCCCCTGTCCATGATTACTACCAACATGAGTTCAAATACAAACACGAGCGAGTTGGTATGAGCTGAATCCAAATGAAGGGCAAAATAAGAGTAATGAAGCGGCCCAACCGTTAATTTAAAATTTGACTGTTGAGTATATAGCTTCTATTTAAAAGACATCTAAAATATTGTGCCCTTTTCAAATTTCTCACTAAAGAGTGATGACCTTTGTAGCGCAGGGGGGCTGTTTTTTACGTTTAACTTTGAATCCGCGGCTCGAGATTTTATGCGGCCGGCCGGCCCCCTCTATTCAATAACGTTTGCCAAACCTTCTGGAATGACCCCAAATCTCCCGATTACAGTTCTCCCTTATTCGTTGTTACTGTCACTTAGCGCCATTTCCTTGTCTTTCCCCCTTTCTCACCGAATCCCCCCCCCACCCACTTACTATAGGGTACGCACATGTATGTTCCCTCTCTTTGAAAGCACCCCTCTATCTCCGGTGTAAGTCAGTACGGGCCGGATTTTTGTGTATTACGGGCCGGACTTTATTGCGTGAAAAGTAACTCTTTATCGGAAATTTTGGGAACACATATTCGGTCCCTCCGACCCCGGAGTGGGAGGGAGGGGGAGGGGGGGGGGGGGGGGGGGGGAGTTGGGCTTTCTTCTTTATCTTTTCTTTTCTCTTTTTTCTTCTCTCCCTTTTTCTTTTCCCTTCTCCTTTCTTTTCTCTTCTTTTTTTTTCTCCTCTTCTCCTTTTTTTTCTCTTCTTTTCTTCCTCTTTTTTCCTCCTTTTTTTTGCGCCGCCAATAGGGGGGGCCGCGGCCGTTTCGGCCCCCCCCTGGATCCGCCACTGTTGCAGTTACAGCTCTCTCTTGCAAATCATATTTTCACCCATCCAATAACTTCTATCTATGACTGAGTAAAACATTGTTATATTCTTTTTTCATGTGAAGTTAATTCAAATGTATTGTGAAATTGAAAATGATTTGTTACTTATAGATTTCAGGCCTAATCAAAAATTATTATATTCTTTTACATGCATGTTTAGAAATTAGAATCTAGGTCTAACTCCAATGAAATGTGAAATTCAAAGTGTGAACATGCATGCAAAAGACTGCTTCCTGATCCTGATTGAGCTGCTGATTAAAGGCAAAGCCCATAAGGGATTGGTTAATTTAGTACTTTCATCATTCAAGTATCAAGCTATCACTAGTGCTTACTTTGATCATGTTTGTTAGTGTTACACTTAGTTCTACACACTCACTTGCACAGGGTGCTCACAGAATTACACTAGTAGTCTACACGTACACTCTACACTGCACTGCACTATACAGTTAGCGCTAGTGCTCCATACATGTAGGTACCCTACCTGCCCTCTATCGCGCCTCGGCTAAGTCCTGGCGACTAAACCTTACCTTGTGCTGTAGTCATGCTGAACGGGCAGACAGACAGACAGACGGGAACGATCACTTCGTTGCTTGTTGGTGTTTTCCAATCAAGAATACGAAAAAGGTGTAAGTAGCAGAACGGCTGTGTCTACTGTATATTGTTGAGCTGATCTGGATCATACACTCGACGAAGACTGCAGACTAAAAAGTCACATTCAAGCTTGAATTTACCCCCCTAACCAAGGCTCCTTGAAACTAGCGACTGATAAGCCGCGCCAGCGCCCAATAAAGGAAGAAGGTAGCCATCGGTACCGGTAACGGTTTCTCCAAAGCAGTAAATCAAAAAGGAAACGGATTATTTTTTCTCCACGTCTTGCATGGGTGACAGTATAGCGGCAACAGGAATAAGAGATTAGATTTGGATGTTTTTAAAACTGTCGTATAACATTTTAACTAAAAAATGACTTTATCTTTTTTCTCTTTAATATGGTATAATGTCACAAGCAGAAACTTCTTTTTTGGGGTCTTATTGTTCAGATTAAAGTGAGGGCTCGGCATTTATGAGGTTTACACACACACAATACATATACAATAATGGCTTTTAAAAATACTGTGTCACATTTAGTATAAATAATGACCTACACCATTTTAAAGCTGAAATTTTGTTCTTTACTCTAATACATGGAAAAATTTATGTCTGTGTCTTACTCTTAGTCAGATTGCATTTAGAGCTGAACCTGGTGTTTGTGGATTTTATATATCTGCACAATAAATACAGTAATGGCCAAAATACGTTTTAAAGATTAAAGGTACTTGTCCCATCGTAACAGCTGCACTGCTAAAGCCAGGGTAATTATGCTGCATTATTGTAGAGCGCTAAGAGACTTCTGATAAAGTAAGTGTTAGGCGCTATATAAGCAAATATAATTATTTGCAGGCCAAAAGATGAAAAAGTTTAATTCCCCACTGGCATTTGAAAGATAATACTAATTTTAAACTTCCCTAAATTTAAAAGGGCTTGAAAATGTCTTTTTTTGTGGGAAAATAACGACAGTTAGTTGTCGAATTGACTTTAGGGATTACAATCATTATAGTAAATCTGTTTTTCGGACCATTGTATCAAATACTACGTTTTGTGCTGCGCAAAGTTTCAATCAGTTTAATTTTGGCCACTACAATAACTGGGGTTATTAGTGATGTAGACAAATGCTGATGTACCCTTTACAGCTCAATTTATGTATGTTATTACCAGAGAAAAAATGAAGTCAGTCAGTCACTCAATAGTGTCTGCTAGTGAAATCTAGAAAATAAACGGGTTTCCTTGCATAATTTGAATACTATATAGGACACAATTTCACAGATAGGACATACGTGACATATTCACAATTCCTGCAAAGTTCTACAGAATTTGATGTTGGCTGCAAATGGGACATATGATTATATAGTACCTTTTAAAGGCTTTAAAGAAACTACGTCCCTTTTGAAGCCAACATCAAATTCTGTAAAACTTTGCAGGAATTGTGAATAGGACATGTAATAACTATGTCTAGCTATCTGTGAATTTAAACGTTAGCAGTGTCCTAGTATTCAAATTATGCAAGGAAACCTTTTATTTTCTAGACTTTCCTGTCAGACCGAATGACATTTTTTTTTCTTTGGTAATAGTATGCATAAATGAGTTGTAACAGGTACATGAGCATTTTGTCTACATCATTGTCCCACTACTTAAAGGGATAGTTGAGTTTTGTTTTCAGACCGCAAATGCCTTCAAAGTGCATGGTTATTGTTCTAATTCATATCTATGACATTTCTAGTGCGCTTTTAGAACCTAACATTTCTATGAAGGTAATTTTAGACCCCCAAATATGTGAAATTTAGCCAATACGATCATATCAATTCAGCTCCACTTAAATAAAACACGGTGACCGTTAATCATTTATTTAATAAAAAATATAAAAAAATACATGGGTTGTGCGTAATATTACCAACACGAAAATGCCAACAAAAAAGCCAACATCGGCATTGGCTGAAATACGACATAAAAGGCGCTTTTTCGTTTTTTCAACAGCTTTTTTCAAATTATCTAATATTAAAGGTGGTATAAGTATTAGAAATCGTTATATTTATGGATATTTCAGCCGTCTCTGAACCGATTTTACTCAAACAAATATGATTTTGTCATTTAAATTGTATGTTCTTTCAAATTTGACACTCAGTTTTTCGTTATCTCACAAAACAATTATTTTGTGTAGCGCCCTCTGCAACAGAACTCAACTATCCCTTTAAATGGCCAAAATAAAACTGATTAAATAATTGTGCAGCACAAAAACGTACGACCATTCGGTACAAGGGTCTGAAAATCAAACTATTACTTAGGTGGTTGCAATCACCTATGTCGATTCGACAACTGATGGTCGTTATTTTCCAACAAAAAACATTTTCAAACCCTTTCGTTCAAGTTCAAGTTCAAGTTTATTCAAACCAATCAAACACAACATTTTACAATCAATTGACACAAAAGAAATAAAAAAACATGATAGGTTTGGGACCCCGGAGAAGCAGAGCTTGTGATAAGGGGCCCCTTAAAAGGTACATAAACAAAAACAAAATAACAGTATTTAGAATAACCGATGACAAAAACATATTTACAATGATAACTAATGAGTAAATATGGGAACAGAAAAAAAGATAACACACATACACATACACTTTTTTTTTTTTTTTTTTAACAATTTTGTTTTATTTCTCCAGATGTGTAACACAAACCATGACATACAATTGAATAAAATAAACGTGTTCAATATTGATGCTTTTACATAAACATAATTAAACACAAACTTATTTGCAGTATAATATAACTTAACAACAAAGTAAACGTATAAGTACCTAAACATAATATGTCAATTGTAAATGTTATTTACTTATATATTACAAAAAAAAACAAATCTGGAGATAATTTTACTGAAACAATCCTGCCCCCTCCCTGCCCCCTACATCACACAGACATACTCACCCTCTATCACACAAACATACTCACCCACTCACACACATACTCACCCACCCACCCACCTAACCCCCCCCCCCACACACACACACAGTACTCACTCAGTGGATGTCTGCCAACATTCTCAACTTAAGAAAAATATACTAAATAAGTTATCCAGGCCGCAAAATCGAGTTACGCTTTTAACAAGCTCACGGTGGAGAAGAAAGCAAATCTTAATTAATCTTAAGCTGCTCCCACTTTAAAAAATGTGATCCTAGCTTTCCCATTTTAATTGCTATTTTCTTTTCCTCATCCCTATACTTAAAAATGCTTTTTTTCATCTTTTCTAAAGTTAGTACTCGCCCCCCCGATCTTGACATAAATGTAACATACTTCACCATGAAAATGATAGTATTACACATTTTTATTCTATATGAACTACCTACCAACCCAACAAATATATCTCGCCATTCTAAATCTTTAATTTCATCTAACTCAAAAAGTTGTATTAAAGCCTGCCATAACCTTTGAACGCTCCCACAAGATAAAAATAAATGTTTGTACGTTTCTATTTCCTGCTTACAAAACGAACATAAATTATCACCAACAAAACCAAATCTATGAAGATGCTCATTAGTGTATATGGCTCCATGCAATAATTTAAATTGAAATTCCCGTTGTTTTCTAATGAGTATAGTAATTCTTGGTCTCACAAATATTTCTTTTAATTCTTTATCTATAAAATCATAGTCATTTTGCCCATCCCTTACCTGCAAATCATACGTTCGCTGCAGTGCTTTGATGAAATAATCATAGATTGTTCTTGAACCCACATCCACAAACTGTATTTTTTTACTAGAAATATGGAAATAAGTATTAAAGCTTATCAAATCAACCTCGAGGAATTCTATTAACCCTGAATCATCCTTCCATAACCTGGGTATCGCATCATAAATATCAATAATCATAAGCAAATTATTACCTTTCATACCGAGGTTCATAAAATATTTAACAGGCTTAACATGACCTTTCTCAACCAAATGATTCAGTTGAACAATCCCTCTTTCAAACAAGTATCTATCAAATATACTTTTTCCATTTATACATATATTCTGATTATTAAAAATAATTGGATTAATATAACCCTCCAAATATCTTAAATTACTTGTCTCTTGCCATGCTTGCAACATTTCCATATAGTATGGTGGAATATCTAAAACGAGTTTAATCTTGTTTAAATCATAATCACATAAAAAAATAAATCTACCACCCACAAACTGTAAGCAATGATCAAAAAACAATTTCCATCCCAAACTTTTCTCTCCATATAAAAGACGTTTTATCCACATTATGCGCTGTATTTTAACGGACATTTCAAAATTAATCATTCTTAATCCTCCAAAGTCATAATCCTGATACATTATTGCCCGTTTAATTCTATCTTTCCCCCTCCATATGAATTCAAATGAAATTTTTGCAACTTCTTTATATACCCAATGAGGGACAATAACGAGAGATGAAATATAATTTAATTTTGAAAGCGCATAAGTTTTTAGCAAATGTATTTTACCCATAATAGTTAAATCTCTTTGTTTCCACCATACAAGCAATTTTTTTATTTTACTTAGAATTTCTTTATAATTCAAATCATCTTTTAAACTTCGATCTAATGAATAACTAACCCTAAAATATGTATTTCCTTAACCAAATTTCCAAATAAAGGCCCATCAGGTTTGTTTTCATCCTCACCCATCCACATAAAATGTGTCTTTGTTTTATTCACTTTAAGACCACTAATTTTTTCAAATGATTCAAAAATATATTGCAACCTTCTAACCGAATCAATATCCTTCAAAAATATTGTCATATCATCTGCATATAACACTTGCCTAATTTCAGATTTTCCAAATGTAATCCCTTTAATACCGTTGTCCCTCCTTACTGCATGCGCCAAAATTTCGATGGCAACCAAAAACAAATATGGCGATAATGGATCCCCTTGCCTTACTCCCCTTTCTATTTCAAAATACCCCGTGGAGTGACCACCGTTCATAACACAACTACTTATCCCTTTATACAATAATTTTACCCAAGAGCAAAATGAATCTCCAAAACCGAACAATTTCAATATTTGAAATAAATATCTATGAGATACAGAGTCGAAAGCTTTCTCAAAATCCACTGCACACAAAAAACCCTTTCCCTTGTTCCCCATAATGCATAGAATAAAATAACATGTCATCTATCAATCGTACAGCTTCCCCAATATTTCTATCTTTTATATATCCAACTTGATCATGATGAATTATTTCATTTAAAACCTCTTTCATTCTTTTTGCTAGAACTTTAGATACAATTTTATAATCTACATTCAAAAGCGTGATGGGTCGATAATTTTTATATGGAGAGTATCTTTCGCTTCCTTCTCAATTAAGGTAATTACCCCTTGTTTTTGAGATGCCGTTAATTCCCCCTTTCGTATGTTTCATTCAATACTTCTACTAACAAATCACCCAAAGCTGGCCAAAAGTATAATAAAATTCAACTGTTAACCCATCATTTCCCGGGGTTTTATTCAATTTCATTTCTTTTAAAACTTTCAAGCATTCATCTTTAGTTAATTTACCTTCACAGATTTCCTTATTGTCTTCATTTAACTTTGAAATATCATTGAAAAAGAAAGGGTCGTTTTGATTTATATCAGCCCTTAAAGAATATAAATCTTTATAAAATAGTTTAATTTCCTTTAAAATTTCCTCCTTATCTCTAGTAGTTTCCCCATTTTCTTTGTACACCTCCCTAATTACACTTTTCCTTTTATTCGATTTTAACAACTGTTCAAAATATTGCGTATTGTTTTCTCCATCTTCAAACCAAGGTGCTCTTGATCTTATTTTAATGCCCTGTCGAGAAAAATCATACAATTTATTTAGTTTATCCCTTTTCTCCTCAATACAATCAACAATATATTTAGTGGGTCCCACTACCAGTTCGCCTTCTAAATCCTTGATTTGTTTCTCTAACAGTTCTATTTCAACCCTCCTTGCTTTTGCCTTTTTCCGCGAGTATGTTATAATAAATTCTCTCATTTTCATCTTTAAAAAATCCCAAAATACTAATTTATTCAAAATCTGTAATGACCATTCAGCTTTTAATTCCTGTATTTCCTTATTCATCTCTTCAACAAAATCTTTATCCATACATAAACTACTGTTAAATTTCCAATATGATTTCCCAAAAACAAACTTATCAACAAGATCATTAAATTCTAGCCTAACGCCAGAATGATCTGGCGTAATAGATGCCAAAATCTCACACGTACCCACCAATTTTTCAACACTACAAGGTATAAACCAATAATCTAAACGGCTTTGCACCACCGGCCAATTTTGTCGAAAAGTAAATTGCTTTACATTCGGATTTTTTTTCCTCCATATATCTTCTAAATCGTATTTATTTAAAAATTCCTTAATCAAATCAATAACCCGAGATTTCACCGGTGTTTTTGACCCCACATAATCTAATTTTCCATCCAATATACTATTGAAATCACCTCCTAATAAAACTAAATAGTCCCGATCACACTGATCAAAAATACTTTCATCTAACTTCTTCAAAAATTCAATTTGTAAAGTTTCTTTATCTCTCGTTGGAAAATAAACATTAACCAATAGCATTTTAACCCTTTGTATTTCACCTTTAAAAATAATGTATCTCCCCTCTTCATCTACTTTAATTTTTTTTTCTTCAAAATCTAAATGATTAGAAAATAAAATAAGAACCCCTCTACTATGGTTTGACCCATGACTAAAAAACATTGGCCCTCTCCAATCTTGTTTCCACCGCTCTTCTATCTCTACTGTACTATATGTTTCTTGTAAGAAAATTATACTATTCTTTTTAGTTTTGCACCATTCAAAAATATTCACTCTTTTTAACCTATCTCTTATTCCTCTAACATTTAATGTTACACCCCCACGCACACACACACAGACACACCCACATACACACATACACACATGGCTTTCCAGGATTTACTTTAACATATTTTGTAATCTCTCAAAAAGATATTCTCGACATGTATGTTTAAACATAGGTAGTGTTGGACTGGATCTGATGTTTTGTGGCAACTTATTCCATTCTTTGATACAATTAATTACAAAAGAGTTCGAAGCAGTTTGTGTTCTCGCAAACGGCTGATGGATAAGATTTCTCTGACGTGTGTTGTACGAATGGACAGTCGAATTAACAATAAACGCATCTTTTAAAAATGAATTATTTTGAGCAGATTGAGATTTGTACATGAATATCAAACAATTCATGGAGACTAATTCATCAAGAGGCAACATCTGAAGTTGCACAAATAAAGGATTACTTGGACTTCTGTAATTTGAATTTGTAATGAGCCTGATAGCTTTCTTCTGAAGGACTATTAACTTGTTTATATGGCTCCTATACGTTTTGAGGGAAGTTCTAAATAAGTATTGTATTTCAAATGCCGTTGGAATTTAACCATTTCCTTTTTTTGACCTGTTAATGGGACATAGCAGGCCTACCTTTAAAAATATCGTTTGACGTTTTAAAAATTTGACGTTTTTCTTTTGAAGATACCATAGCTCCAAAAAAAAAATGCTCGCTATAGCAGACAATGGTAGAGGTCAGTGAATGTATAGCAGACACCGAAAGGCCAGAATGATAAACTAGAAGGTTAGCAATTAAAATAATGCGGAGAAACCTAACTTTGAAATACTTCCGTAGAATGCTCGAAAACATATTGCATGCCAAACAAAAAAAACTAACCAAGAAAATGCCGGCTGTGAATGGGGACCGAACCCCCCCCCCTCCCAATACTCAGTGTTATTTATACGCCTTTGCAGGTTCCCTCTTTTCGAAAGCACCCCCTATCTCCGGTGTGAAAGTCAATGGCGGGCCAGACTTTGTCCCGCGGAAAAGTACCCCTTTACCGGTGATTTGGGGAACACGCATGCGGTCCCTCCGAACCTGGAGTAGGGGGTCCAGCCCATAGCATTGCCATTGGCCCAGCCCCAGTATATACAGCCCTATAGTAGCTGTATTTGGCTGTTCAAAATTAATTGATTATTAGGGAAACAAAAATTAGCCCCGAAAATAATAAAAGAACCCTAGATGTGCTTTTTTCCACAAAATTCGAACAAAATAATTGTTATTTAGCCATAAGTCATTACTGTGAAGATCTTAATAATTATAGGCCTATACTAGATAAAAAAAAATACATGCAATTGGTGTGATGTATATTTTGAATGGGCAGAATTCATTCGAAATGTAAACAAAGGTGGTGCGTTACCCACGCGTTGCGTGCTTCGGGTGGGGGGGGGGGGGAGGGGGGGGGGGGGGGGGGGGAGGGGGAGGGGGGGGGGAGGGGGGGGGGGGTCACTCCCAACATGACTGGCTTTGCACCAGCGCGCTGAAAACAGATATACGGCGTCCTGTTTTCAAGCACTGATCGCACAACCCCCCCCCCCCCCCGGGCACCTCTTCAGGTTTACATGTTTCGACCCATGTGCGATACATACGCCATTAGGGTCCATTTCAGAGGTTGATGGACACGGGTGTGTGGCACTTGTGTATATCAGAGTGACGGTGGGGGGGGGGGGAGGGGGGAGGGGCTAGTTTAGATATTTCAGTAAATTTAGTTTTCCGGCGCTTCGTATTTGCGCATGTGCAAAGCATGCTTTGCAGTACCTGGTGGTACTACGCCCCCCCCCCCCTACCAAAATAATACGTAATAAATTTAATCAGATAAATAATCAAACATAACAAACATTTTAGCGGAGCATCATTGGACTCGATGATCCAAGAAAGAAAAACAAGTTGTATAGTTTGTGTGAAAGCTTGCATTTTATTTAATGCTGAGAAGGTCACATTGGTCTCTCTCTCTCTCTCCCTCTCTTTTCTCTCGCTCGCGTACAATGTCTGTCCCCTCTCTTTTACATTGTTCGCAACCTGTTTTCTGTCATTCCATTCTATTTACGCTCTATTGACGTCCATCCTCGTCGCGGGCTTGTCATTGTCTTTACTTTATTTTTTATTTTTTATTTTTTTTTAAAACAAAGAGCAAACTTTTATATTAATATATTTGTGTTTTTTGTTCTGTATAAGCTAATTTGTGTAATGCTACTTTGTTATTTTGAGGGACCCATAATCTACAAGTATCCACTTTTTAATGGGTCCCTCCATTTCCATAGAAAATATCAATTTTTTTTTTTTGTATTATGTTATTCAAATTTTGTTTATATGCAGTTTAAGTATTTGTAAATGATATTATTCACATGTTATCTTGTTCAAATTTTTGTTTTGTTTTAATGAAATATTGTTCTAATTTCTGTGGAAATGAAAAATAAACTTGAATTGAATTGAATTGAATTGAATCCTTCCATTTCGTAGTGGCTTAGGTTAGAGCTTCAGAGAGTCTGTATTTTAAACATGCACATTAAATTGCCTGCAGAGCAGGCGCTCCACAGGAGGGTTAATGGGCACATTGCCCTCCCCCTCACACACACACACATACACGCGCACACACACGTATCGAACACTCCAATAGTGCCACTTTTCACAAGTTTTTTCTTTATAATAAGTGCCCCTTCTTATTTTCTCCTAAATGCCTCTTTTCACTTCTGATTAGTACCCTATTATGATAGGAGCCCCTTTTACTTACACAAACGCCCCTTTTCCTTTATAATAAATCGCCCTTTTCCCCTTTTAATAAATTACCTTTGCCTTACTTATACATAGCCCTTTTCAGCTCTGATAAGTATCACTTTCAACTTCCCCTTGTTACTTGTGATGTAATTACGCATTAATGAGTACCTCTCACTACCTGTATATCCCACTGTCGCTTACAAATTGTACCTTTAGTTACGGTCAACTAAAGCAGCGTTTTTAAAACTTTTTTAGTCACGGCACCCTTTTAAGAAATAATATTTTTGCGTCATCCCAGTCCCAAATTTATTTACAGAAGATTCATTTTGCATCACTCTGACACTCGTCAAGTGCCATGAACACATGGGGAAATTTGTTTCTAAATTTTGCGAGAGGGCGAAGCGAGCGAGCCAATCTTTTGTAGAATGAGTCAACGCAAGAACACTTTGAAGAGAAAAATAAATAGTCGTAATAATATAATTATGTTCTCAAATTTATTTGACATTCAGTAATCAACACGGATATGGAAACAATAAATCATACGCATCAATGTATTTTTTAATTATAGACAGAAAAAAGGCACATGGATTTCATTAGCCTCATCGAGTCATGGTTTTCACTGTCTCAAATTGCACTTGATAGCACACGTAATAAGAATGGTTCCAACCAGAGGGACCCAAAGAAAGACTATGGCAAGAAGCATGGCATAACATGTATATACGTCACACACCGTCGATGGAACGACTAACGTCTGATCGTATTTAAGTTTTAAAAAAATAATAGAACAAACCGTCTGTTTGGAGCCAGAAGGGCATTAAATCATTATTGTAATGCAGAATTAACGCCTTGCTGACTCTGAACAGATTTGATAAAGGCGTTATTCATATAGGATTAGTAGTCTTATTCGTTTCATTGTTAAACATTAATACAAGGCTGGGAGTTCATGACGAAGTTGTACACATGATAAAGGAACAGATTGTTACGATGGATGTACATAGAAACCGTCTAGACTAGCAACCGAGGCCCAGCGGTATCTAATAATCTTCATCATCTTCTGCCTCAGCGTCGCAGGAGTCGATGCCGACCTCTTCGTAGTCCTTCTCGAGAGCAGCCAAGTCCTCCCGAGCTTCTGCAAACTCTCCTTCCTCCATACCCTCTCCGACGTACCAATGGACGAAAGCACGCTTGGCGTACATCAGATCGAACTTGTGGTTCAAGCGACCCCAAGCCTCGGCGATGGCGGTGGTGTTGCTCAACATGCAGACGGCACGCTGAACCTTGGCAAGATCACCACCAGGGACAACGGTGGGTGGCTGGTAGTTGATACCGACCTTGAAGCCAGTTGGACACCAGTCGACGAACTGGATGGAACGCTTGGTCTTGATGGTAGCGATGGCGGCGTTGACATCTTTGGGGACGACATCACCACGGTACAGGAGACAGCAGGCCATGTACTTGCCGTGACGGGGATCGCACTTCACCATCTGGTTCAGAGGCTCGAAGCAGGAAGTGGTGATCTCAGAAACACTGAGCTGCTCGTGGAAAGCCTTCTCAGAGGAGATGACGGGTGCGTATGTGACAAGAGGGAAGTGGATTCTTGGATATGGCACCAAGTTGGTCTGGAACTCGGTCAGATCGACATTAAGAGCGCCATCGAATCGCAGAGATGCGGTGATGGAAGACACAATCTGGCCGATCAGACGGTTGAGGTTCTGGTATGACGGACGCTCGATGTCGAGATTACGACGGCAGATATCGTAGATGGCTTCGTTGTCGACCATGAAGGCACAGTCGGAGTGCTCGAGGGTGGTGTGAGTGGTAAGGATGGAGTTGTATGGCTCGACAACAGCGGTGGAAACCTGAGGTGCCGGATAGATGGCGAACTCCAGTTTGGACTTCTTGCCGAAGTCGACGGAGAGACGCTCCATGAGGAGAGCGTTTAGCCCAGATCCTGTTCCACCTCCGAAGCTATGGAAGATAAGGAAGCCCTGGAGACCGCTGCAATTGTCCGCCTAAAGAGAAAATAACAAGGAACCATTAACATTGTGCTGTGGTGATTTCGTCCCAAAGGTTGTCAACGCCGCCATCGCTACCATCAAACGCATATAATGAGATATAAGAATCTACTTCGATATACAATGTATGAATCTACTATTATCACTGTTTGTAGCATGTCTCAATTTTCCATATTTCATGCTATTTTTGTTTATATACGTCCAAGATTTGAGGCCATGTTGGTGTCCCAGCCGTTAACGAGTATTGTGAAGTTACCAACATAAATCGAATTATTATGATATCTTTTTGCTTCATATTTGGTCTGATCAAACATTTATTGGACTATTATCATTGGGTGTATGAATACTGCCCTGAGATTATCGGTTAGATAATTATGTGACGAAATAGCTCGGACTTTAGGCCTATTTCATGACCATGTTTGTTCAGCAACAATACTACTTAATTAAGTCATATAAATATTTGAAGAAAAAAATCTTACCAATCGCCTTATCCTGTCCATGACATTGTCGATGTGCTCTCGACCGATGGTGTAGTGACCACGGGCGTAGTTGTTGGCAGCATCCTCCTTGCCGGTGATCAGCTGCTCAGGGTGGAAGAGCTGACGGTAGGTACCGGTACGGACCTCATCTGAAACGAAGATTCGTAAATATTGAGCATCCCATTAACTTTTTACATTTTAAACATGTATTTTATATCATGATGATTTTTATTATTTTAATGAACAAATTACTTCGATTTCTTATTCTTTTCCTCCTATTCCCGTTTCTTTCTCTCGCCTTTTCTGTCTAGCAGCTATAGTCTATAGTCATGCTAGTCATTGGACTTTTCTTTAGAAAAGATGTTAAAGACCGGCAATACTACTGGGCCAGAAGGGATTAGACCACCCAGCCAGGTCACTGACAGGTGGCTATCTCATCAACTCAGCTCTCAAGTAACATAAGAAAAAGAGGATCATGGGGGACCAACAGGCACCGCTTAGGCATTGTTTTCTATAAAGAGGGAGCAAGAAGCTACAAGTAGGACAGTGGGGCTTTAAGTTCTTAAGCTTGAACTTGACATTTCTTCTTCTGTATGTCAGTATCATTAAAGGACGAGTAAAGAAGTCGCGTGTTACATCTTCCGCACCCCCTTAATCTGTAGCCTTGTAAATTCACATTTAAATGTCCGGGTATAAGACTGATGCCCCCCCCCCCCCCCCCCCCCACCCGCCCAATTGTTCCAGTTCCTCCTGAATGGAGTGGCCTAATTTTGCTACGCCATGGTGCCCAAACAGGTTCGTGATGATTGCAGTAGGGTAGGATGTGAAAGCTAAAGTGCTTAGATTAGCAAGTGTGCGCTTGTAAAAATGACGCCTGACTGAAATGCTACCCAGGGAGTGGAGAATGTGCATACATTGTGTGTGGGTAAGCCTGAATCCGATGACCGGGGTAATAATTATCATGATTGCAGGACCCACAGGGAGAACAGTATGAAAACTGATGAGGCTACACTGGGTAAACAAGACATATTATTATTATTATTATTATTATTATTATTGCATACATGACATGCATGGCTCTTAGTCTTACCTACGACCGAAGGTTCAAGGTCAACCATGACAGCCCGGGGGACGTGCTTCCCGTTACCGGTCTCACTGAAGAAGGTGTTGAAGGCATCATTCTCCTTGCCGGGGGAGGTATCACCAGGCATCATACCATCGGGCTGGATCCCGTGCTCCAGGCAGTACAACTCCCAGCAGGAGTTACCCATCTGGACTCCGGCTTGGCCGACATGGATGGAGATACATTCACGCTGTGGTTAATGAAAAACAGGAAAGAAAAAGGTTAGACATGCAAGCCACTTCTTTGAATATATCTGACTGTCAAGAATTACTCAAGATGTAAAGTTGTCTCATTTTTGGGTGATCATCCGAGCTCAATTAAATCGCCGACTTCGTCTATATTGACAGTCGTCAGCATTGCAAGGGAAAGCGACAACGTGAATGGCATGTTCCGACAAAAGTACTTTAAAAGTGAAACAGTACGAAGACATGGATGCTAATAATCATTGACGTTGGACATTAATGGTTCCACTTTCCCTCCATGAATTACAAAGATTGGTTACAGCATCCACAACACAACTTATGCAAACAGGCTAACCATTCCGTCATGGCTGATGCATGCCGTTATACTACAGGGTGGCGCACTTCATAAAACACCACTAATGAAGAATTGACTGTCTCGTCATTCTCCAGTAAAAATTACCGACAGTTTATCTGGAACCCGTTTCACAACGCCTTTTTTCAATGCCAAATTTCAAAAATCAGTGACAAATCTGTTTATAACCAATCAGAAGCAAGGATTTCAGTAGTTTATAACAAAAACTGTCATTTGTCACTGATGACAAGTTTTGTGAAACGCCCTCCGGTTGTGGTACATGAAAAAGCGAGTTGTATAGGCTCCAAGGGATAGAAGAATAGAATGTACTGCCAGCAAGCAGTATATGCTAGATATAAGAATATAATTACCCGGGTAGCTTGTTTAGTGTATAGTTTCGTAATTTTCTCCATGGTTCTGAATATACCAACTCTCCGCAATAAATAATCATCAAAAGATAGTGGCAGCCAGACACCAAATGACTATTCCCTCCAACTTGGTCTCTCCTGAATCGTTATGATCCCGACCTTCGCGAAAATAACCCTAATGTCTGTCGCATAGATTTCCAATGTAATCCATGCAACTCTTCTAGACGTTGTGACTAAAAAATTAGAAATCGTCTGCCTTTGTAGTAAACACAGTGTCAGGACCCTCGTTGTTATAAGATGGTGATAGGATACTAAAGATTAGGAGTAAGAAGTTGCCTAAATTGGATGTTTTGAATCACTTCCTCAACAGGCTGCCCTTTTCGGGGTGACACGGAAGTTGGCTAATTATAACGCCGGGGAAGAGTCATGCATACCATCGGCATTCTGCCATGTTTGGAGAAGAATGTTTGAAAGTACCGGTGCAAAACCTCATAAGTACGTGCTCCCAAATGCCGTTTTAAAGGGGATGAAAACGCGTACTTTTATATTTTTTTAGAATTCAATAATGTATTTGGAATTCCATTTTGGGATTTGCCAATTCTTGCATGCAATATTTGATTTCGCTCCCCAAAATCCGCTATCGAGCAAATATAACGATACAAATTACTATCAAAACTGAGTGAACCCAGGCTATGTGGTGTTACCGTTTTTATGGACAGACAAAATAATACAAAGATCCAATTATTTAATTAGTTATCTAGTTCGTGTGACCATTACTTAGCTGGAAATGATTTTGTGCAGTGTGATTGATAAGTGAGAAAAACAATTCTCTTAAGTCGTTCGAAATGATTTCTGAAAACTAAACTGTTTTCTTTAAAGGGATGATCATTATCAGAAAACACGTTTTACTACTCCCCCTTTGTATACGATACATTACATCAAACTAAATCTAAAATGTTCACGCGCTCAATCTTATCTGCATACTTCCTTCACGCAAGAAGCAGAGCCGGTTTATCTGATTTCCTTGATCCGCAACAAAGTTACAGCCAGGATGCAGGTTGATATTAAATCGATCGATCATACTGATGACAAAGATTGCAAACATGGAGAATGGCCGCGTCATTTCCTGTCCGGCTTTCCTGGTTAAGCGGGACTGCACTACTTGTAGCTACTTGCGCCCTCTACATAGCAAACAGTGCCTAAGCAGTACCCGTTGGTACCCATGATCCCCCTTTTCTTATGTTAAGTGAGAGCTGATTCGAAGTGATAACCCCCTGTCAGTGACCATGCAGGGAGATCTAATCCCTCCTGATCAAACTAGTGCAGACAGGCTTTAAAGTTATTATGGCAATGAAAAAAGCTGAGTTATAGATTTTGATTGTCAGGATGAAATATGTTACAAAAGAAACGGTCGGAGAATAGTTCACGAATGAGCAGTGGATAGTAAAAAATGAAATTGATTTTCGAAAAGAGATTTTTTTTTTTAAATTTGTGCCGCGATGGGGGGTGGGGGTGGGGAAGGGGCTTTCTAAAAAAATATACCTCTCACTCTCTAGTCTAGGTAGTATCCCCCAAACACCCATCCATGATCTTTCACAACATTTAATTAAATCGAAAAATATAATGCGTTTCGCCCAAATTAAAACAGAAGAAACTATTAAAGGTACTATGTCCCATTTGCAGGCCAAAAAGAAATGAAAAGGTTTAATTCCAACGGCATTTGAAAGATAATACTAATTTAGAACTTCCCTTAAAAAAAGGGGTGGGGGCTTGAAAATGTCTTTAAGTGGGAAAATAACGACTACTAGTTGTCGATTTGACTTTAGAGCTATAGAGCCAGTAAGTAATAGTCTGATTTTCAGACTATTGTACCGAATGGTCGTACGTTTTATGCTGCGCAAAGATTCAATCAGTTTAATTTTGGCCATTACAAGAAGTGGGTTATTGATGTAGGCAAATGCTCATTTAACCTTTACAGCTCATTTTATGTATGTTATTACCAAAGAATAAAAAAAGCCAGTCAGTCACTCAATAGTGTCTAACAGTGAAATCTAGCAAGTAAACGGGTTTCCTTGCATAATTTGAATATTAGGACTCTGCTAACGTTTAAATTTAACAGATAGGACAATCATGACATATTCATAATTCCTGCAAAGTTCTACATAATTTGATGTTAGCTGCAAAAGGGACATAGTAACTTTAAGATAAATTGAAGGGAAATGTGCTTCAAATGTTTGTAACCCCTGCTAACAATTTCGTCATATTATAGATTCGTGGAAAGTCATAGGATTTCTTATATTTCTTCTTCTTCTTCTTCATCGTCTCTCTCTCTCTCTCTCTCTCTCTCTCTCTCTCTCTCTCTCTCTCTCTCTCTCCCTCCCTACCTCTTTTTCGCTCTAAAGATAGGAGGCTGAACTCCCGGCCCAGCGGTGGTCACACCATATCACATCACGTGACCACATCATGCCCAGGGTAGCTTAGCTTAATGGGAGTTTCCGGAAGATATTGGAACAGAAAGCTTACGCACAAGCCCTTCTCAAGCGCTGTGCGTAATTACATTGTCTGCACCGTGAGACTATGCTGCCGGCATACTACACATACTCTGTACTTAAGCTGCTCTTAACGGCAAGAGACTGGCAAAGCTAGGCTCTGCTCAAGGATTCAGGAATTGCTGTAAAGTTTCAAATTAGCTTCTGTTCCTGCGAACTACTGAAAAACCTATACTTTTTTCTTTCTACTTTTAAATATGTTTAAATAAATATTGCAGAATATGGATTATTGGAATGAAGCACGGGCATTTGTATTAGATAATGTTGACACTGTCCATATCTCTTTCACAACTCATCCAAAGATTTCACTTTGCTTCTTGATCATGTTGATAGCGTTCTCTTGATTTAAAACCCAGTGTATAATTGTCTTATTGGTTACATTATCATAATCTAATTATTGCTTTGCAACCACGCAAAACATCGTTGTTTAATTACTGAGCCAATTAAATTGATCTTTTATTCGATTATCTTATGATTACTTGGTGGTCAATCAGCACTTTGACTACGGATAAACAATTTATTTGTCAACCGTGATTCGAGTAAGCACCAGTATTATTGTCACATTTGTTGAATAATTCAGTAATGTTTCTTGGCTGTACCCAATAACTTTGATTTGATGAACAAATAAAGGGAAACCTAAAAACTGAAACGGGGGGGGGGGGGGGGGGGGGGAGACTGACAGAATGACAGATAAAGTATTTTCAACTTTCTAGAAAGTATTGCTGTGGTCATAATAGTGATGCATATTAATTGCACTCGAAGGGCGATCTATTGACAATTTCAGTTTCGTATTCAACTAAAACTTACCAAAAGGCCGGAAATGGACTATCATTATGGATATAAAAACACTTTTCATTGTTTCCTGTACAGTCTATATTACTACTCAGTCTATTCACGAATAAGAGGCAACTAATTAATTCTTATCGATAACATTTGCATCGACGTAAATTCTTAATGTTAGTTTAGATTCATAAACCCCATACAGAAGATGAATGCACAGCCACAGAAAACGTTCAGATGTATTGAATATTATCCAGATCTCACAAGGATATCGTTCATTTTGAAGCCCTCTCACAAATGCACACAATTCATTTCAGACACAATACATCACCCTGTATTAAGACATGGGGAGTTAGTACTCCATTAAAGGGAAGAAAACATGGATGTGAAAATGGTTTGAAGAGTAAAGAGTCACTCCACTACGGTATCAATTATATCAACGCTCAAAATGAGGATATTATTAAAGTGGCAATCGAAACTAGAATATTTGTTCAGGCTTAAAGACCAAACGCATTATCTGATCAAATAAGAGCGATAGCTATGCAATGTAAGTAAAGAGGTTGATACATTTAACAGAACTGTCTTCAGTTACAGTGATTATTTTTTTATGACACAAAAAGAATAGCGTAAATTCATCTCCTAGCCGTTTTACTTACAAGACAGAAAAGAACCCGGCTACTATTTATATTGGATTCTGAATCTTTTGTGACCAGCACATGAAGACTTCAAACTCAATTTAAACTATCACTCAGTAGAAAATCATGTTGTATGAGGCATACTAAGAGAATGAATTAATAAGAAGGATCAGTTATGACTTACCATATTGATGTAGATTTCGGCTTCAACGGTAATGAAGAAAGACTGAGGAGGATTGTTATTTCGTGATATTGGCAGATATAGTTACTTCTATTTCTTCCGTCTTCTCAGAGCCGTGTTCGATGAGCGGACCAAGAAGCGAGAGAGAGGGACGCTGAAGCGAGTTAGCTCAGTATCTGAAGTGAGTTGGGTTTATCGACTAGCAGCAGGTTTTATACTAACTTTGAACGTCCGGGGTGAACGCCAGTAACAGGAAGCAGGCGCGGATCCAGGACTGTTTAGGGGTGGGGGCCCAATTTGTTTTCTTTTTGCTCCCGAAAATGCGCTCAGTGGGGGGGGGGGGGGGGGGGGGGGTAGTAAGCACTTTTATTTGTTTGCCCTCGAAAATTTGAAAATATGCACCCCCCCCCCCCCCCTGGATCCGCAACTGACAGGGAGAGCCGGTTGGCGATTAGTTTTTAAAGGGAAATCCAACCCTTGTTACAAATTTCATTTCTATATAGGCAGAACAATAAGACAAACCGAATGGCGACAATTTGAAATAAATCGGGCCAATATTAAGAAAGTTTGGAAGACGAGATCAAAGTCCATGCAAATCTCCAATGGCAGTTTGGTAAGTGGTTTGTGACGTAGTCGCGAATAATTCTCCCATTAGTCGAGTACAAGAATATCATTAAGTTCTTTATTCTCCTTAGTGCCCTCTCCCTTGGGGCACTACTCATACATTTATTATGGATAGCATGTTATTATAGGCTTGAAATTTTAGTCATTTTTTGGTTAAGACAAACGGGAAAGCTGTCCGCCACTACATCACAGAGACATTACCGATTCAGCCAATTTGAAGAACCCATACCTATATAGTGCTTACAACTTTCAAAAATTCATTACTTTTTTCCCGATTACATTCACATTTTCACCGGTCTACTTCTCTGATATTTCTGCTTTCCTCTAGAATAGTTTGTTATCAAGGTCACGTGTGGATGTCCCTTTAAAGGGGCACGTTCCCGCCAGTGTAGTTATCGAAACATGCCATCTGCGTAAGAGCGGTATTCTGTTGGTGTCAATAGGCAACTATAGCGCCGTCCGCCAGCACGTATATTTTGAGCGCCCTCTGGGATACGGGGAACATGCCCCTTTAACGGTTTCTAATGACAGGCCAACTCTTTTTGTATTCACACCCCCTTTTTGGGAGCCATTCAAATGTTTGGAATTAGGGCGGGGGGGGGGGCGATGATGAGAGTTGGGCGGTCATGAGGGCCGCTGGGGAAACATTGCAGGGGTAGTCGTTATATGATGAATTATGGTGTGTTTTTTGTTCAAAATCCATAAATTAGATTAAATCATTGCACATTGGGAGCATTCATCAACATTATACGTAGTACCATGAGAACATACTTAGATAAAGCACATTGTCTATTCACAGCCCTATCCTATTGATAGATTTTAAAGGCTTGAATGACTATTTCAAAGCAATAACAGTATATCTTGCCCAACATATTTGTACCATTTGAAGTACCATAACAGCTGTAGGGTTATCACGTGAAAGTTTAAAATGCTATGAGTCTCGATCAGAGTAAAATAGTAAAATAATGAATCATGATTTTGAAATCTCTATGTACAGTGATATTCTGCAGACATCCACCCCCCCCCCCCCCACCCTCCCTCCTCTCACTAACCACCTCTCAAAGGAAGAATATCGGTTTTTAGAATATTGTTTTTCTTATTATTACCTCTGGTACATTATGAAGAGATATACAACAACCTTATTCGAATATGGTTGTTATAGTGCGTGTCGTGCTATCCATAGCTTTTAGAAATAAATAGGTTACAACATGTATCTTTTATATGTTAAGGTCATTGATGGCAACTAATCGAACAACCTGTATCCTTTGTGTTAAGGCCTATGATAAGAACTCAACCAATAACAGGAAGAACTGACGTCATGATCGGAAATGAGAGGGAACACGTTGCCGGAAGTGATTGTGAAATCGATTATCTTTAGAGGGGAAACATGGGAAGGTCATGATAGGCTGTGATAGATATTAACATAAACAACCCGATATCCTGATGCAGGACCAAAGTTTAGCAATTGTTCATACGATTGATTTATGCGATTGATTGCATATAATAAATAAAGGGATTGGGTAAATTTCTCAGATTCTGAAACAAAATCCTGGATTTAGCTCATGCTGCAATGACAATTATAAAGCTCTAGGTCAGTAAGGAACCCCATGACTTTTACGAGCCGTCGCCTGTCTGATTATCAAGGTATTTATGATTGGAAATCGAAATCACATTTTGCGTTTTCCTAACGGTTTCCTAAAACTACATTAGGGAAAACGAGTATGGTAAAATTTTGATCATTTTGAAGCGCATTTTTTTTTTGGGGGGGGGGGGGGACTTCAATATTACACAACATACAGACACTGACAACATTTAGGGCCGTGTATCTCAGATTTAACATTGTTTAAACGATGCCTTTAATGCAATCACTCGCAAACAAAAATTCATGGTCGAAATAATATCAATCCTACGATCAATTGTTGCCCCACGTGATGATACTGGACCCAGAACTTACTTAGAACAAGAGTTCAGCAGGAAGACCAGAGTGCATTTATTCGTTAAGCCTTTATTTATACCCGCAATAACATTACATGTAGAAGTTGCAGTGAAGAACAATAACAATTAGTAGAGAACGCATGCATATAGTTTGGGGCAACAACAAATGAACTATAGAGCTACAGATAGCAGAACTTTTAATAGGCTATGTGTAGTTAAGTCGCAGTGGTAGTAGTACTAGTAGTTACAATAATAAATAACATTTTAGGGTACTGGAGAGGGGCTTGCAAAATAGCAACCGCCCCTTATTCATATTGATTTAGGAGAAATGTATTTGTTTGCATATAAAAGCCGACAAACGGTTGATCAGTGCCCCCTGGGCCCCTTCATTTCCTTTCTGCCCATAAGCACATATCTGCCTATTCAAAAAATGCCTTTATCACAGACCGGGGAATACAATGACAAACTGCTCCTTGCTTTGATTTGATAGGGGCATTTATAAGAGGTGAAATGAGGCATTTATGAAAAGGGGATAGGTCCCCCATCATAAAAGAAAGGGGCACTTATGAAAATGACAAGGGGCACTTATAACAAAGGAAAATATTTGTTGAAAAAAGGGGCATCGATCAGATTTTAATAGAGGCATTTATCGGAGGTGAAAGGTGGTTAAGATGCGGGAAGTAGCTCTTATTAAAAAGAAAAAGAGGCACATGTTTAAATAAACGGGGCACTTATCAGAGAGGAAAAGGGGTAACTATAAAAGGGGGAAGGGGGCACTTGTAAGAAAGAAAAAGAACATTTATTAGAAAGGAAAAAGGGTACTTATTGAAAAGGAAAGGGGCACACGTGAATATAAAAGGGGCACCCCTCAGATTTTAATAGGGCAATTATCAGAGGTGAAGGTGCGATTATCCGAGTTAAGAAGGGGTAGTTATTAAAAGGGGGAGGGCACTTATTACAAAGAAGAAGGGGCACTTGTCAAAGTAAAAGGGGCACCCCTCAGATTTGAATAGGGCAATTATCAGAGGTGAAGGGGCACTTATGCAAAGAGAAAAGGGGACACTTCTTGTATATGACAAGGGGCACTTACTTGATATTAAAAAGAGCACTTATGATGATGGAAAATGAACACTTATTGCAAAGGAAAGTGGGAACTTGTCGAAGGATAAGGGGCACGTGTCGAAATAAACGGGGCACTTATCAGAGGTGAAAAGAGGATGGGAGCTTTTACAAAGTAGAAGGGGCACTTTTGAGGTACTTGAAAAGTGGGGCGGCACTGTGCCCCCAGCCCCCTCATAGTGAACAGGTATGACACCATCACCGCCACGCTCAAAACTTTTCATATGAATTGATGATCAAAATTTAATTTGTTTTATTATATGGACCGAACCAAACTCTATTTCGCATGGCAAATTGACAAATGTTCGGCATTCTTTAGGAAGAAATAAAAAAGAGAAAAAATTAGAGACGACAGTGTGCTGTCGAGATATTAACTCGATTTTGTCACGAGATGGCGCTACAGAGTTTGGTCATTCAAGACTTGTTTAGCACCTGCACAAAATCAACCTGGTCAAAGCATTTTTATAGAAAGGTCTACTTGTGCTTTTAAACGAACCCGCAAAGTGCGTTATGTCATCAGCATGATCAGATGCAAGCATATTCAAGGGTCGAACCCGGGACCTCTTGCCCGAGAGTTAACAGCCTTCACCAGTACGCCCGCCTCCCCCCCCCAAAAAAAAAACAACCGTGAACGGAGGGATAGCATGCATGTTCCCAAACTCTTCGGCTCGTAACAAAAGAAAAAGGTCTTCCCGTATTGACTTTACACACCGGACTTTTGCTGAAAGGAGGGGGGGGGGGGGGGAGGGGTTGATGAAAAAGGCTCGGATAACAAAAGAAAAAGGTCGATCCGTATTAACCTTACACACCGGACTTTTGCTTTAAAAAAAAGGGGGGGGGGGGGGGGGTCGCTGGGAACACGCATATGCGTACCCTAAATAACACTGAGTTGGGGGGGGGGGGGGGGCGGGGCACCACGATGGTCCTACGAAGTCATACAAATATGGCATAGCGCGGTAGTCCGTTCATCGAGACTGATCTTACCAGGTGAGTAGACTTACTATAATTTGATTGAAGAGATGGAGGATGGTAGAGCTATAGGGAATGTGTGTGATAATCCTGTCATGTCCCTTCTACTTTCTCTCAGCTATTGCCCCTTCATTTTTGCCAATCGATTGCAAGGCGTATGTCCCCGACTTCCGTAACTACATTAAGTCACATTGTGGAGAATAGAAAGGGGCTAAAAGCCAAAGAGACCGACAGCCATCGAGATCGTAAATGCCGGCCGGTCTCGCGATGCCTTCTAACAACCTTTTGTTTGGTCTGCCTCCGAACCTTACACCACAAGCCATAATTATTGTGACTGCATGACTATAAAATCACAAGTTTTATGGTAAATATACACGACCATGATCAATATTTTTAGCATTGTTGAAATTAGCAAATGTATATTCGTTTTCTATCGCAATGGTCATTGGATATCAAACCCTCCTCACCAGTGCTGCATTGGACCAATTAAGCGCCAAGGCATGAAGCAGAATTCCTGACCCGGGCATGGAGGCTCAATGGTTAGAGCGCCCGCCTCTTAAACGGGAGGTCGTGGGTTCGATCCCCGGCCGAGTCATACCTTCTGCCTTCTAGCTAGGCGCTCAGCATATTAGATTGGAGAAGGGTAGTAATAGCATATTATGTTATGCAGGGTCCACTGGAAGAGCAGTTTCATAACTGAAGTGGCTACCCTGGGTAAATAAAACGTTATTATTAATATTATATATCATAATAATTTGGTACAAGGACATTGTGACGGCACTTTTTCAAAACCCTGGTACTAAGTCATCCGCGGCGTGTTATGAATAGGGTATCACTATTAGTAGACAGAAAACAAATTGCTTTTTTTAATGAAATAAATTTCAAGGTCACATTACATATGATTTTTTAATTATAAGCTACTAAAGTTGGGTGCACATTTTTGATACGACCTGCAGATAGGTCATCTGGTGTGTTGGAGAACGTTTAGTATAACAAATTAGTGATAGAGTGATCCATCAATACATCACAATCAAATTACTAATTTGCCAAATTGAAATCTCCACAATGTGTAACACTTTTTAATCAAAAAATAAATATTTATTTGTTATATTCGATTTATTCCATGTCCATGAAATTTTTTTCTCTATTTTTCATGTTTATTTCGCTGGTAATCTCGAGGCATGCCCCAAATGTGATTCTTATGTCCCGCCTCTCTTTAACGGATGTCTGTTTCTCTTTAGACCACTCTTTTCTCTCTATCTCACTATCTCTTTCTATTTCTCCTTGTCCATCGTCCCCATCCCTTCTGTATTCGATTTTCTCACACTCAACATCAGTATTATCATCATTATCATCATCAACATCATGATCATCATCAATATCATTAATATAATCAGCAACAGCAGCATCGTCGTCATCAAAATCAGAATCTTTATCATCATCAGTATCATGATCATCATCAAAATCAGAAGCAATATGATATGCAATACCATCACCACCAGCAACAAGCAGCATGAGCAGTATTGTATCATCATCATCATCATCATCATTAGTTTACCAACATTTTCTCAAAGATCGTGCAACACTGCAAATCTTATATCCATCACAGAGGTTTATGATTGAGAAAGCTAATGAATTGTCCAGATGCAACATAAAAGTTTCTGATTTAAATTATTTTATTCACATGACTGAGATAATGAGGGTAATTTTTACAACATGAAAAAAGGCAAACATGTTAAACAAATAAACGAAATGAATATTGCCAGATACATTTGTGACGAGGAATACGAAAATTCATTGGTGGTGAAGGCGATGATCATCAGTCTAATACCCGACCCCCCCCCCCACTCCGAGAACGGACGGACCCCATGCGTGTTACCAAAATGTCCGGTAAAGGGTACTTTTCGTGCGACAAAGTCCGGCCCGAGAATTGTATAAAAAAAAAGGGGTGTATTAACTTTTCACCCGGAGATTTCTTTAAAAGGGGGGTGTTTTTTCTTTTTTTCTCTCATCTCTTTGGACTCCTGAGAAATTATTTCGAATTTAGGGGGGCACATTGAGCATTTTTCATGATTTAGGGGGGTTTCCAAGGCAGGAAAAGCCGGCGAAAAGCCCACGAAGGGGGGTTCGGAAATGTTGGCAGTCCTCAGATAGGGGGTGCTTTCAAAAAGAGGGAACGAGCATATGCGTACCCTAAATAACACTGAGTGGGGGGGGGGGGGGGGCCGTGTCTAATATTCTTCTTCTTCGTCTCCTTCACCCTCTCCCTCAACGCAGGAGTCGACACCGACCTCTTCATAGTCCTTCTCGAGAGCAGCCAAATCCTCACGAGCCTCGGAGAACTCTCCTTCCTCCATACCCTCTCCGACGTACCAATGGACGAAAGCGCGCTTGGCGTACATCAGATCGAACTTGTGGTCGAGACGGGCCCAGGCCTCGGCGATGGCGGTGGTGTTGCTCAACATGCAGACGGCACGCTGAACCTTGGCAAGATCACCACCAGGGACGACAGTTGGGGGTTGGTAGTTGATACCGACCTTGAAGCCAGTTGGACACCAGTCGACGAACTGGATGGTACGCTTGGTCTTGATGGTAGCGATGGCGGCGTTGACATCCTTGGGGACGACATCACCACGGTACAGGAGACAGCAGGCCATGTACTTGCCGTGACGGGGATCGCACTTCACCATCTGGTTGGCGGGCTCGAAACAGGCGTTGGTGATCTCGGCAACAGTCAGCTGCTCATGGTAAGCCTTCTCAGCAGAGATAACTGGAGCATAGGTGGCAAGAGGGAAATGGATACGTGGGTAGGGCACCAAGTTGGTCTGGAACTCGGTCAGATCGACATTGAGGGCACCATCGAATCGCAGAGAAGCGGTGATGGAGGAGACGATCTGGCCTATGAGACGGTTCAAGTTGGTGTAGGTGGGACGCTCGATGTCGAGGTTGCGACGGCAGACATCGTAGATGGCCTCGTTGTCGACCATGAAGGCACAGTCAGAGTGCTCGAGGGTGGTATGAGTTGTCAAAATGGAGTTGTAGGGCTCGACGACTGCGGTGGAGATCTGGGGAGCAGGATAGATGGCAAATTCGAGCTTGGACTTCTTTCCGTAATCGACGGAGAGACGTTCCATGAGCAGGGAGGTGAAGCCAGAGCCGGTGCCGCCACCGAAGCTGTGGAAGATGAGGAATCCCTGGAGACCTGTGCACTGGTCAGCCAGCTTCCTGATCCTGTCGAGGACAATATCGATCAGCTCCTTCCCGACGGTGTAGTGACCACGGGCGTAGTTGTTGGCAGCATCCTCCTTGCCGGTGATCAGCTGCTCAGGGTGGAAGAGTTGACGGTAGGTACCGGTACGGACCTCATCTGAAGGGATAGAAGAAAAGGCAACAGAACTGAAATGTTGAATAAAATTATCTTTTTCTTCTTCTTCTACTTCTTCTTCATTTTTCAAAATAATGTTCATGTAATAATCCAAGTGGGGTTCTAAATAGGGGAGAGAACTAAACCCTCTTTAAACGTTTGACATGTCGCCTAATTTAATATGTCAACCCCCCCCCCAAAAAAAAACAAAAAAAACAACAACAACAACAACAACAACAACAAACAAACCCTCCCATTTTTTTATTTATTTTTTTTAATTTGGTGATTTCATTTTACTGGTTACCTAGAATTTGGATTTCTCTTTCTCTTCAATAAAATGAACGTAAGTCCTAATTACACCATGCATGCAAGTACCTAAATCAGTGACTGCGATATCATATTACTCACCGACTACGGTTGGCTCGAGATCGACGAAAACGACACGTGGAACATGCTTGCCAGCTCCAGTCTCACTGAAGAAGGTGTTAAAGGAGTCGTCACCACCTCCGATGGTCTTGTCTGAGGGCATCTGGCCATCAGGCTGGATGCCGTGCTCAAGGCAGTACAACTCCCAGCAGGCATTGCCCATCTGGACTCCGGCTTGGCCGACATGGATAGAGATACATTCACGCTGTATGGTGAGAAATGAAGATTTGGTATGAGTACATTTATTTGTGTAAGTATAATTATTTACGGATTACGGATTGATCTTGAGATGAGAGGGGTAGAAAGCTAATCCTATATCAAGAAAGCTCACTGTATTTCTTGTCTACAGATTTGTTGTATCTGACGTTCAAGTAGTGACCCTCCCCCTCCCCCCCCCCGGCCCCCAATCCCCTCACCCATCACGTTTCCGCGGCCCATGAAATGCTAGGAGTCCACTGGGCCGGCGCCAGTTGGTGCCAGTTCGCGCCAAAGATTATGTGATTGGCGCGTAGTGGCTCGCTGTGGCGTCGAATTAATGTCCGCTCGGCATGTGTCGCCAAGTGGAATAAACTGGGTGCCATATGGCGTGCGCCAAATGCCACCCGGCTTGCTCCAAAATGTTGCGCCAGTTCGCGCCAGTTTGCGCCATTACACGGCCATTTGATTCCAAAATTCACCCTGTTGGCGCCATTCGCGCCAATAGACGGCTACTTTGCGCCACTTGGTGATTAGTTTGTGCCAAAGGTCGCCAAATTGGTTTGAACTTGCCGCCGCTTGGCGCTACTTGCCGACTAAATAAATACCGGCCATTGGCTACCTGGTTCAGACCCTCCTCAGCTGCTGTATGAACAACATCTCTACTAAATATTTACAATTTTGATATGTCTGAGGCTTTTGATAATGTTGGAGTGATGATGCTGCTCCATCAGAAGATGATGAGAGATTCTGAGGTGGCCACTGCCTATCAACTTATGCTGGCCAATCCTGAAGAAGAAGAGCCTCCTAAGAAGAAAAGGAAGCACAACTGGTGGTTTAGACCCATGCTCCACCCAGTTGAGGGGCGAACGTGGACAGTACCACACTTTGATGGAAGAGCTGAGTGAGAATGACAGGAGGAAGTTCAAGAACTACACCAGGGTGTCCCCAGAGATGTTTGATGACCTGTTGGTCAGGCTTACACCCCACTTGCAGAGAAAGGACACCCACATCAGGAAGGCCATTCCCCTGGTCTCAAGTTGTCCGTCTTCCTGCGCCATCTCGCCAATGGGGCCACCTATGCCGAGCTGTCTTTCAACTTCCGAATGGGCAAGGAAACCATCCAGAAGTTTGTCCCTGATGTAGCCAGAGCGGTAGTGGATGAGTATGCTGCAGAAGTCATCTCCCTCCCCACAACCAATGAAGGCTGGCTTGAGGTTGCAGGTGATTTTGAAGCCAGATGGAATCTTCCTCACTGTCTTGGAGGCTATGATGGAAAGCACATCCGTCTCCAGAAGCCCAACAAATCAGGCAGCCTTTACTTCAACTACAAGCAGTTCTTCTCGGTTGTCCTGATGGCTCTGGTAGATTCAAAGTACCAGTTCCTGTGGATCGATGTGGGTGGGGTTGGCCATCAGTCTGATGCCCAGATCTACAACAACAGTGAACTGAAGGAGTGCATTGAAGCTGGCACTTAAGGCATCCCAGATCCAGCTCCTCTTCCCCATGATGATGAAGAGCACCCTATGCCGTACTTCTTCGTGGGAGACTATGCCTTCGCCATGAGGACGTACATGATGAAGCCTTATGGCCGTCGTAACATGGACCAA